ACATATAGATGGTTTCCCCCCCGCCTTCAATTTGCCAATCTCTGAATTTTAACAGGAGGGTTTAACCCATTTACATGTAAATATTCCTAAAAAATGATTTATTTCTGTCATTTAGCTATTTGGTTTATGCCATACAATTTGTTCAATTCCTCCATTACTGAATTATTTAAATTTTTGAAGTGTGTTGGTTTAATTCTTTTTTTTTCTTTTCTGAATTTTTTTCAATTAAAAATTATTGGGGTGACATTGATTAAAACCAAGTAAGTTTCAAGTGTACAACTGAACAGTATGTCATATATAATGTATGTGTGTGTGTATTGCATTGTGTGTTCACCACCCAAAGTTAAATTTCCTTCCATCACCAAATATTTGATCCCTTTTACCCCTATCTCCCCCACTTCTCTCTGGTAAGTATCCATGAGTCTGTTTGTTATTTGTTTTGTTCGTATCCATGAGTCTGTTTGTCATTTGTTTTGTTGCTTTCAGTTTTATATCCCACATATGAGTGAAATCATATGGTTTTCAACTTTTTCTGACTTATTTTGCTTAGCATAATTATCTGAAGATCCATCCATGTTGTTACAAACGGCAGTACTTCATCTTTTCTCATGTATCACATCTTCGTTACCCAATCATCTATCGCAGGACACTTTGGTTTCTTCCATGTCCTGACCACCATGAATAATGCTGCTATGAACAGCAGGGTGCATATATCCTTGCAGATAAATGTTTTCAGTTTGGGGGGATATTTTCAAATTATTTTCTCAGTGGTTACCTTAAGAATTACAATTAACATCTTAAACTTATATAATAACCTAGTCTGAATGATAGTGACTTTAGTATACACCTCTGTCCTTCTTATTATTTTGTCACAAATAATATCTGTACATATTTTGTGCTCATTAACATAAATTTCTAATTATTGTTTTATATATTTGCCTTTTATATCTTCTGATAGATGACACCAGAGTAAGCCACTGCTACTGAGGGTCAAAACCAAGGCAAGTATCTGTGCCAGTTCCTCAGGCATCACTAGACCAGCACGAATGCACAGATCCAAGTATTTTGAGGACAAGGTCACCACTGCCCACCCTGGCACCAGCTAGTTGCTCCAAGAACATAGGCTGCTGTACCCATAACTGGGGCAGTAATGAGGAATGGGGTGTGGTTCTTGGTCTGTGCATGTCCCTCACAGATCAGAAACAGCTACCTTTATAAGTGTCCAGACATGTTCCAGAAGTTCCAAAATTATTAATTACAATTGTTCTTTCCAGCTTAGTGGTTGACTCAATGGAGTGAATGACCCCAGGTCCTTGACCTTTATAGTCTGCCATTTTGCATGTTTTCACTCCTGCTTGATGCATTTTTAAGTAATATCATTAAGTGCAAACGTATTTAGGATTGTTAATGTCTTCTTGATTTATTGACTTTTTCATTATAGGATGTCCTTTTTCCTCTGGTAACACGCATACTGAAGTTCACTCTTTCTGATATTAACATAGCCATACCAGTTTTATTAGTGTTTGTGTGGCATATTTCTGAATTTCAACCTACGTATTTCTATTTAGTGTGCATATCTCATAAATTGCTTTTTAAAATACAATTTGAAAATCTCAGCCTTTTAATGAGTGTTTAAGACCATTAATATATAATGCAAATATTGATTTTTTTCAGTTTAAAGTCCATTCGTTGGTTTACTATTTATCTCTCTGTACTTGTTCCTTTAGTCTTTCTTTCCTATTCCCATTGGATTAATGGAGTTTATGGTTTTTTTTTTAAATTAAAAAAATTAAGCATTCCATTACTATCTCTCTCTTTTTTTTTTTTTTTTTTTGGTCTGTAACTTTTTTTAAGTGGTTGCTCTAGGGAAAACAATATGTTTTCTAAGCTTATCACAGTTTATCTTGCATTACTATCATACCAATTCACATTTAATGTAAGAACTTCATAACTCCCATCCCTAGTGCAATTGTTATATATTTTACTTCTATGTTATAAACCCCAAAATATATGTGTAGGTGTCATTTTTGTTTTAAACAATCAATAGCTTCTTAAAGAAAAAGTATATTTACCCACATATTTACTATTTCCAGTGCTCTTCATTCCTTTCTGTAGATTTGAATTTCTATCTGGCAATATTTCCCTTGTAGCCTGAAGAACTATGATTTTTAATAGTCCAGGTCTACTTACAATGAATTCTCTCAGCATTCAGTTACTCTGAAATTATTTCATTTTCATTTTTGAAGAATATGTCCCCTACATAAAGAATGTTGACAGCTTTTCCTTCTTTCAGCACTTTAAAAAATGTTATTCTGCTTCATCTGTTCTCTTACTTTCCTAATGAAAAGTTAGCACTGGACTAGATTGAGACAATGTGTGGCCTTATTTATATTTATCCTGCTTTTCAGGGGTGAGGTGGCATTTAGTGAGGCCAGATACAGATCAAGAGAGAGAAACCAGGAGAGTTTTACAGTTTTGTTGTATCCACAGTTCACGCCATGCAGGCCCACTCAGAAGCACTAGGGTTGGTCATGAAAAAGTAGGTGAGGTAGGAATTGTGGGCAAAATGGGTGAGGCATGGTAAGGAGACTTAAGACTGGCTCACTGAGTAGTTCCAGTGAGCTCTGGGGCATAGGAGCTGTCCCTGGTTGTCTGGTATCTGGCATTGGGCAATTAGGGTGGGTACGTAGTAGCCCAGAGCATAAGAATCCAATAAGTGAGGTGGTTGAGGGTGTAGATTTCATCAGCTGCTCAATATAACTCAGTGCGCTTAAGTCAGGGCCTCAAAGCTGGGTGAAGATGGCATTTTAAAGAAACTATGTTACGGGGAGTCGCTGGGTTTCTTGGACCCATGAGTTGATACTTTTCATCATACTTTGAAAATTTGGGGCCACTACTTCTCTAAATATTTTCTCCTCTTCTTCTAGGACTCCATTTAACATATTTGTTATATGGCTTGAGACTGCGTCACAGGTTATTTCATCTCTGTTCATTTATTTTTCAATCTTTTTTTCCCCCGCTTTGCTCTTCAATTTGAATTTCTTTTAACCTATCTTCGAGTTTACTGATCCTTTCTTCTGCAGTGTTTAATCTTTTAAGCCCTCTCATGAAATTAGTTTTCAAAAATTTCATCTCTGCTAAAATTCTCTACATCTTCATCCTTTGCATATATCTTTACCTATAGATTCTTTAACATATTTATAATCTTAAAATTCTTATTCAATAGTTTTAACATCTTGGTTGTCTGTGGGTCTTTTTCTTTTTTTCTTGGTTATATCATATATTCCTGTTTTTGATTCTGTCTCCTGATTTGTGATTGTATGCTAGACATTCTCAATGACACATTATAGAGACTCTGGATTCAGTTATTTTTTTTTCCCCATGAAAACTGTTGGGTTTTGTTTTAGTAGGCAATTAAGTTACTAGTGGATTGCCTTGATTCTTTAAAGGCTTGATTAGGCTTTATTACAGTGGGTCTATTTTAGTTTTGTCCTTAGTCCTAAGGCCTAGACCTGAGTTTTGAGATGTGGTTCTAATCCTAAGGTTGTATGGCCCTTTAGGTTTTCCATGGAAAGCCCAAAATATTTACCAAGCTTCTCTAATTTCGTAAGACATACATTCCAAACTTTCCTCCCTTAGTAACAGACACCTGCTGAAATCCCTACTGAGGTTTATCCAGCCTTTCAACTGTTACTTTCTGTTGAACCTCTTGGAATCCTGCCTTGTTCATACATAATTTAAGGAATCTGTCTAGGATTTCAGGGGAATATATAAGGCAAATTCAAGGCTCTGTGGCTTCCTCCTTTCTGGGATTTCCCCTTTCTAATTTCCAGTTTCTCAGACAGCCCCAAACTCTGATTCAGCTCCTCATCCCAGTTAATAGTGCCACTTTTTTATTCTCTGTGGGCCACATGAGGAATAGTCATCTAAATGCAATCTTATCCAATGTGTTCTCTTCAGTGCTTGAGCCTCCTCCAGTTTTTGCCAATCTCTAGTCACTTTCCAGTGCATTTCAAAAAATGTATATAATTATTGATAACAGGGTTAGTTTAATACAAGGTGCTCTTGCCGTTACTGGACGCCAGGCTGTAATCAGTTGTATAGATGTTATTTAAGATAAAATAAAATCCAACTTCCTTTCATTTCTTCAACTGGTTACACAACTGTGTTCACTTGGAAAACCTATCAAGGTACATGTTTATGTAATTGTGTTTACATGTGTTGTTAAGTCAATAAAAAGTTTATTACAAGAAAAAGACAATTTCATGTTTGTACCCAGTTTAAAATCCCTCAGGGGCTTTCTTGTGGCCCTGCAATCAAACTCAGAACCCCTCTTTGGGGCTTCTCTCCTGCCTATGACTCTGGCTACACAAGCTCACTTGCAACTCCCTAAATGAGATACACTAGATTTTGTTCCTCCCTCTATCCTAACCTCCCTCACCCTATATGAATAATTCCTACTTATTTCTCAGGCTTCAATTTAAGCATCACCTCCTTGTAGAAGCTTTTCCTGACCATCACATTCCACTCTGACTACACTTTAGGTGCCCTCTGTTGTGTTCTCACAGCCACAAGTCCCCTTTTTAAACCTCCACCTCAGCACTAATCACACTAGCTTGCAGTGTCCAATGAGAATCAGAATAGCATGAACCACATTACCAACTCCAAATCTGGTCCCAGAGTAGGAGCTCAGAGATTCTGCAAAATGAACAAAATTCATGCTATCCTTCCTGTTATTATTAACGTTGCTGGTGCAGCTTGTCTGCCAGATCCTGCCTGGGGCAGTTTTCGAAGGCTGGGGATTTAAGAGAGGCATGGGTGCCATCATGAGACTCCAGAGAACTGGCTGCAACTGGACCCAGCTCCATCACCAGATAAGACGTTCAGGAAAAGCTCTCCTTCCTGTCTGGGCCTGCATCTCTGTCAGATGAAGGGGTGAAACTTTGAGTTCTAACAATCTACCCTTCCTAAACATATATGCTGAATGACTGACCAGGCAGTTTTAAAGAAGAGGAGAAGTTTATTGTGTTGAGCAGACCTTATTTTCATTACAGTACCAGGAAATTCATTCTCAGTTCATTTTTGGTGCAGAGGGCTCTGCAAACATTTGGAGACCCAATTCTCAAGCAAGGGCAGCACCTGGACCTATCTTGCATTTAATGGAACAGAATTACAGTAAAATAGTTTTTTTTATAAAGGAGGTTTTTTTTTTTACACAGTTTCTTTAAAATTCTAACATTTTTCTTCATTTTTCCATGTTTAACTTGTTATTACCAAGGATAACTAATTGGAAAACATGGTTACTTGATCAACTTTTTCTCAAACTGCTGACTTTAGGTTAATGTATTCTAATACTTTCGTTTTGAAGAGGAATTATGCCCATTTTTCTGGAAATCTAGATCGTGACAACTAAGTCAATGTATAAATTACAGATAGAATGAAGGCCTTAGCTCATATCCTAACCTGTATCCTACTTATACCTTCCACATTTGGCTTCTGTGTTGCTAGGTAATTGAGAAAGACTCAGGAGATGGCCTCCTGCTTGCAAAATCATTACCATGAAGTTTAAACTTTATGGACTACTTCTGGAAAGCATGCAGCTGCTTAAAGCTGATTTTGTGGTTTGTGTTTATAAACTGTCAACCTACCCAAATGGGGAGAGATCCTCTACTCAGTGCACTGACTCACTATCGCCCAGAAGTGTCCTTTCTGTACTAGATCGAGAGATCAAAGACCAAATAATGAAAAAGAAATTGGTATCTTCCAGATACTTTGAAATATCAATGACAACCTGAGTTAATGAGTCTAATTTGCTTGAATTCAATCACGTAATTACCAAAATCCCGATTAAGAGCTTTCCTCACTAAATCAAGGCAGGAAAAACATGAATTTAAATAAAAAATATTATACCATTAAAATAGACAACAGCTATATTTAAGTGGATGAACTCTAATCATCCCACAAAAACATTCCCATAAAATCAAATATTTAAGAAAACTAATTATTAAAATTGCATGACAATGTAATATACACTTAAATAACTTTGCAGACAATGCACCTTCCATTTGTATTACCAAGAGAAAGTTTCCATTAGGTGGCTTTACCAAAACATTTACACTGTCATAAAATTTGATACGACAGTCCTAACATTTTTTTCAGGAAAAATGCACTAGGTATTCCTGTGTAACCCTTGAGTTGAATTATTTTTTTAAATCATCCATGACAATTTTAGAAAAGGACTGCTTTCAAGTACCCAAATTTAACTTACAGGGGACACACTGGGGAAGAGGAATCATTTTATACTCATTGCTATGAGGGTAGTGTCTAACCTGTCCCAAATCATGGTGTCAGTAAAGTAGAATTCCCTCTACAGGAAACTGGATTTCCTTCCTCCCTATCGCCAGGGCCAGTCTCTTTCAAAAACTGCACTGCCTTCCCTAGCTTTCAGCCCTTCATCCAGAGACTCAGCCCCTGCATCCAGATAAAAGTTGTTCATTCAGGCAGAGCTTTAACAAGGCTCAGAACATGAGGACTTAAAGGACAGCAGAGTAAAATAAGCTCCATTCTTGGAAACTTTTTAGTATATGTAAAATCTTTGCTCTCCCAAGAGCTTAGTTCACATAGTATGTGGGCTTACCATGATGCATGCACACTTAGCAGGTAGGCAAGCACGTTTGTTTCAACTTGAAATGCCACATTTTGACAGATTCAACACTTTATCAATCTTATGGAAAAAGAACATGCCATCATTCTCAGTGTGGTAGTATTGAGTACAGTTTTAAAACAAAACATAGGCATATGTCCCCACAGCTCTAGCTGCAGGCTGTGTACACAGGTTTTGATCTCAATCAAATACCACTGTTCATAGAACAAAAAGTCACACTGTTCCATGTCATTCTAACGTCACATTATTTCATATCACTCTGGCACTGATTCAGAAAGAAAATTTTCCATTACGGCATGATGAGAGAAAAAAATCTATTACATACAAATGGTGGTTAAAAACAATACACTGTGAACATTTTTCAGAAGCTTGATTGTTTCAATACAATCAATTCTTGCTTCTTGGGGAAAAAAATCTCTCCTATCTTTCCAGTGACAATTTGCTTTCATACAGTAGAGACAACAGACAAAGCTGACCAAGACCAAATTTCAGTGGTAACATCATTTCCTAGGGCATTAGAGGTTCATTTTGAAAGATGCTTATGTCACATGAACCAAGAATCACTGGCAGGAGGAGGGCCCTAGGCCATTTCAGAAGCAAGCTGGGTCTTGCATATTTAGATTCACCTAGTAATAAGACTTATGTTTAGGGTGGTGATGGATAAGGGGCAATGAGGACACACACACACATACTACATGGAGAACAGATTTCACACTATACCTTCCTTAAATGGAATATACATAAGAGATGGAGAGAAAGAAATGGGAGAAAGGTGATTTGGTTCATGTTCCAAGGGACTCAGCATTTAAAAATCACATCCCAGTGACTTTAGTAATTTCTTATGCAATCTCCCAGAAAATGCACTGGGGAAATGCACAAGTCTATGATTGTACACAGAAGGTGGCAGCAGCAGAAGCCCCTCTAAAGGCTTAATTAAATCTAAGATGAAGCTGAACAAATGTTTTTTACTTATTGGTTCTATCCCTTCAGCTGCTCTGACCCAGTGAGGGGCAGGGTAGCAGGAACTCATGCCTCTGTTAACAGCAATAATTCTGAGGGATATTTCTCTCTTGGATCGATTTATTTAAAAATCTTTTGAGCTCCTCCCTCCCCAATTTTTAATGCAATCAAAGAAGCAAACTCAAAAGCTTCTTCAGACAGCTTGAGAGACTAAGTTAACTTTTGTATGTGAATATGGAAAAAATAAATTACTTGATACTTGTCACAGACTTTCATTTTTTAAAAAGATTGTAAATTATTGTGCTACCTGGCTTAGAAGAGGACTTAGCTGTCCATCTGCATCCCTCCTCACATTTTTTAAAAGCAGTCAAATATGAGACACAAATTGTTTGCTTTGGAAGGAGGCGCCATCCATGGGTGTGCTCTTGCTGTCCCTGCAGCTGGGAACGATGAGGGAAAGACCTGGAGCCTCATAACCACACAGGCCCACAACACACCAGGACTCCTCATGGGAGCCTACCAGCACTGTCCATTCACTAGGCTGCTCCAGAAGGCCGTACTGAGCTGCTGAAGTAAAGCCACAAAAAGCAATGACTAAAGGGCTTATGTGGCTTCAAGATGCAACTATGTAGAGTCAGAAAAGGTAGAGCGCTGGCAACTGCAAACCAAAGACAACCCAACCCAAAGCACTAAACTAAAAGGAATATGGAACAGTGTATTTAACAAAAACAAAAACCAACCCCACGCCCCACCCCCCCCAAAAAAACACCATGAATTACACAGTCAAAACCCCTCCTGGTCTCAGACCTGAGAATCTTTTGTAGAGAAAAGTCAAAGCCAAATTCCCCTGGGTCTGAGAGAGAGAAAATCCTACAAAGGAAAGGGAAATTTCGAGAAGGTAACCTTCCTGAGGGAGCCCTGAGCCTCCACGATGGGTCACTAGAGGGCTTACTATGGCTGTATCCAGTAAGGAAATCAATCATGACATTTCTTTAGAAAGTGGAAAGAAAAAGTGAATGCTTTCACAAATACAAAACTGTTTACAAAATAATTACCTAAAAAGTTCACTGAGGTTGGGTGGAGAATGAGAATAATGTTTTCATTTCAAATTAGTCACAATGGTACTGATGGTTTATAAAAGAGAATGGCCAATTTCTGGTCTTCCTCACCTCCTCCAACACTCCAGAGCCCTCTTACCCCTGATGTTATCCCCGTCCTCACCCCAACCCACCCCTATCCTGTCCCCAAATTAATTTGCCCCAAGCCAACCCCGAAGACACATAATTGCTAGCTGGTTCTCAATTCAACAATGAACTTACGCTGGGGAAAAGAATGCAGGAAGGACACAGGAGTACACTGGCATAAACCTCAAGGTGTGTGGACATTGGACAAAGCTCCTGCCAGCCTAACTCAGGGTGGCACCTGAACCACAGTGCAGGATGCAGACTAAGCTCTTTTGCCAGTCAACTGAGGTGAGGAAGAACATGTGGTTCCGGCTGGTCGGCTGCTGCAGCAGTGTGACACCCATGCGCTCTTGGGTGGGGGCACACAGGACGCGTTTTCCTCCTCTTGCTTTTGCCATTTTCCTTTTTGGTTAGAAGACTGCTCTTTACAGAGTTCCCAAAAAATCAACCACCGATATTTCTCTGAGGTAAGAATCCAAAAGAGTCTTAACTTCAAAGATCCAGAGCTTGCCAGTGTGCAGGAGTCAAAAGTAAATGTTCAGAATCAGAAGGCACGCATACCTGCCCAGCCTGTTCACCAGCAGTTGTATAGACAGATCAGAAAAAACTAGCATTTAATATAAAAAGTGTTTTTCAAATGGTGTAATTTCCTATCCTTCTCTGAAGATCATAATTCTTCACGTTTCTGAGGTCCTATGGAAAAAGAGACTAATTGAAAAAAATGGACTGTCTTCGAGTTCCATATTTACAGACTGGGCATTTTCTAGTACTAGTACTATAACCTATTATTTGTGCCCACACCTCCAATTATCTCTCTTTTTAAATTTTTAGGAACGTTGGTTTGGTGTGTTTGTATTATATTTTGAAAGTAAAAAAATAAAAATTAAAAAAACATTTTTATTTTTATAAACACTGAAACTAGTTCTATATCCCTACCCAATGTAAACTGTTTTCAAAGTACAGTATTTACTTCCAGTAAAATGCACACTTTTAGTTAGGATTCTTCTTTTTTCACTTAATAACATATAAATATTTTCCTGTGTAGCAGTGTAGCTCACTTATCATTCTCTATTTTTGGACATTTAAACTGTTTTTAATACTTTTGATTTATATATATTAGTAAAATAAATTTCTCCATATATAACTTTTTTCTTGTTTAATTATTTAAGGTAAATTCTTGAGAGGAATTATTAAAAGTATAAACATTTTAATGGCTCCTGATGACAGATTTACTGCTTTCTAACAAGGATTGTTCTAATATACAAAGGAAGGTAGACCCAGAACAGTTTCATCGCCAATTCCCCAACAAAGGGCATTATCAGTATGTGTACTTTTTCTATGTAGTATACATTAATGATAGATTCCTTTTATCTGTTTCCTCAAATTCATTTATTATTGGTGTTCTCCTCTTATTTGAACAGTATGTCTTCATTCGTTGCCCATTTATCTATGGACATTCTTGAGGTTTTACTTATGAATTTGAATTAATTTTTTTTTATGGTGAATCTCCAACCTTTCAGTGTGATATTTAATACTATGATATAGTCTTCAGGATGTTTAAGTGAATTACTCAAAATCCATGGTCTGTAATTATTTTAAAACTAGTTTTGAGCTGAAAAAATGTTAAAATCCAGAGCCCAGCTTATTAATAGTTTACAAAAGGTCACTTTTGTATTGCAACAAACAGAAATCAGAACCACAAAGGTGTATTTACCAAAAGCCAACATTTGTCCTCACCTTCTCGGCGTGGCTCTTTTGTCACCTTCTCCTTATACAGTGCTCCTGTTTCTTTCTCCTTCTGAAAGCGGATCTGTAGCTGTTTGATCTCTTGGTCATAGACTTGCCACTCTGGGACAATTCGAACAGCTGCTTCTAGCTTGGGCTCTTTGGTCATTGGATTATTACACTGTGAAAACCAAAATAACATACTTCAGCTGAGCTGAAGAAAGGGCATTATATAGAATTCAAAGATGTTTCTGTTCTTGGATGACAGGTCCAAACTGGACAAAAAGAACAATATGGAGGAGCCAAATGATATATTAGCAGAAGTAAAAGTAACACTCTCACTGATTGTAAATAGTGAACATAGCCCCATCAGACACTAAAGGATTTGGTTTCTCCTGCAAGCAGAAAAGAGATCTGCTTACTGTAAGATGTTCTGCAGTCCCTAAACTATACAACTGTAGAGCAAGAGTAAATAGGAATCTGTGCATTAATAATTATCTAATCATACATCACTCTGGAATAAGGCACAGAAAAGAACCACAGATAGCTTACCAGATCAATCGTTTTTGCCCTTTTTTTGGAGGCGTCATCACACCATGTTTCACACCAAAGCCATTCTTGAGGGAGTGATTTAATTGGCACCTGATGGATCATGTTATTGGGCAAATCCTGTTTGGCAAAAAAATAAAACACGACAACCAAAAGTTCTGGGGGAAATTTAAATAAACACATAGCAAATTACATAACACATACCAATCCCAAATTTTAGAACTAAAAGTGTCTTTACCAAAAACCTTAGAAAAGCTAAAATACTTATTTATGGTGTTTTTAAAATCCACAAGTTTAGATGATCCATAAAACATCTACACATAATAAGCACCTGAAAACCTTTAGTTTAAAATTCACAATAACCTGTACCTAGACTACCCACCATGAGGGCAATTCTAAGAAAAATACTACTCCTTTTTGAAAGTTGACCAAAAATAGAGTATATTTCTTATATTTCGCAGTTTTACTTAAAGGTAGCTCTGAATCCACCCTTCCTGAGGCCTGATCCCAAATGGATTAAGCCCACATGTTTTCTAGACAAGTGTACTCTATGATTTGAAGCTTTTTTCCCCAAGAAATTTTTTGAGTTTGATACAATAAAATGTTCCATTGTCCTAAGACACAAACAACCAATATAATCCAGCAATTCCACTTCTGGGTTTATATACAAAAGAATCGGAAGCAAGGACTCAAAACAGGTACTTGTACGCCAATGTTCAAAGAAGCATTATTCACAATAGTCAAAAGATGGAAATAAGCCAGATGTCCATCAACAGATGAATGGATAAACAAAATATGGTATAGACATACAATGGAATATTATTTAATCTTACAGGAAGAAAATTATGATATATGCTACAACATGGATGAAACTTGAAAACATGCTAGGTGAAATAAGCCAGACACAAAGGAAAAATATTGTATGACTCCAAAAATATTTAGAATAGGCAAATTCATATGGACAGAAGATAGAACAGAGGTTATCAGGGACTGGGGGGAGGTGAAAGAGGGGTTTTTGTTTAATGTGTATAGAGTTCCTATCTGGGATGATGACAAAGTTTTGGAGATGGACAGTGGCACAACACTGTAAATGCACTTAATGTCACTCAACTGTACACTTAAATATTATTAAAATGGTAAATTTTACATTATGTATATTTTACCACAATTAAAAATAATAATAAAGGTAAAATAAAGACATTTTCAGACAACAAAAACTGAAGAAAAACTGTTATTAGTGAACTCACACTGAGGGAAATTAAAGGATATTCTTCAGGCAGATGGAAAATGACCCATACAGAAGCCCAGAAATGCAGGGAAGAATGCAGAGTAACCAAAAGGGTACCTATGTGAGTATATCTAAATCTAAATAGATACTGACTGTACTAAACAAGAATAATAACTTCTTCTGAGGTTTAAAGTGTAGAGCGATCTAAAATATACAGCAATAGGGCATTTAAGTTGGGATGAGGATAAATGGAGTTGAGGAATTCTAGAGCAGGGACTGCAGCAAGGAGCTTGCTAGGAATGCAGATTCTCAGGCCCAACTGCATACTTACTGAACCGGCCTGGGTGAATGGGGCCCAGAAATTAATGCTTTAGTAAGTTCTCTGGGTGATTCTTTTATATATACTAAAATTTGAGAAGCACTGTTCTGATGTTTTCACACTGTGTGGTAGATGGGTAAAAGATGCCGATTAATATTAGCCTTTGCAAAATCAGAAATGCATACTATAATTGCTAGGATAATCATTAAAAGAACTGTAAAAAAGCATTAGCTTAAGCTAATAGAGAGAAAATAAAATTAGAAAAAACTCTCAATCAATCTGAAAAACTGATTAAGGAGAAAAAAGAAACAGAACATGTGGAGTAAGCAGCAGTAGTTTAGAAAAGCCATTTATCGATAATTATATTAACTATAAATGGACTAAACATTCAAATTAAATGACTGTCACATCAAATAAAAAAAAAAGGAGCTATTTGTAAGAAACAGAACTAAAATGTAAGGATAGAGAAAGAAAATAAAAGGATTAAAAATTATCATGTAACACTAACCAAAAGGAAAACTTGTACAGCTGCACTAATATTAGATGAAACACACTTTAAGGTCCAAAAAGAAAAAAAAAAAAAAAAAGGTATTACCAGAGGTAATAAAAGGTTAATTTGTCTGAAATATATATATAACATCTAAATTTTTAGCCACTTAATAAATCTCAAAATACATAAAGCAAATTTGACAAAACCAAAAATAAGAAAGATTTCACAGTACAGAAAAAGATTTTTAACAAATCACCTCCAGTGATTAATAAAAAAAAAAGCAGACAAAAAAACACATAGTAACGTTACTAAACTTGATATAATAAGCATATATAGAAGAATATTACACCTAACTGCAGGACAAAAAACTAGATGAAATGTTTAAAAAAACTAACCATATCTGGGTCAAAAAGCAAGTTTAAATAAACTTTGAATTCCTGAAATCACACAGAATACATTCTCAGATCACAGAACAAATAAGCCAGAAATTAACAACAAAAATATAACTGGAAAATCCCCATGTATTTGCAATTACTTCTAAATAACTCATGAGTTAAAAAACTAAAAATAATGAACTAAAAAACTATTTCAAGAAATAAGGAAAAAAATCAACAAATTAAATAAAGTAAAAGAAACCATAAGGAACAGAAATTAGTGAAATAGAAAAGAAACACTATAGTCAAAATGAAAAACATTAAAAGCTGGTTCTTTGAAAAGACTAATAAAACTGATTAATTCTTGGGGAGTTGATCAAGGGGAAAAAAAGAGAAAGCACAAATAAACAATGCCAGGAATTAAAACAAGGTTGGGGGAGAAGAAATCAGTACAGATCCTACAGACTTAAAAAGATAAGTGGTGTGATGGAAACATTCTGGCTCTTGACATTTTTCAAAACTGATTAAAAAGTGCACTTAAGATCTGACATGTACTTAAACGTGTCACTGTATATAAATTATATCTCAAAAAATGAAAAGATAATACAACTTAGTGACAATATATGTTAGGAAATTTAGATGCAACTTAACAAAAATAGTGATAAATGAATAGAGAATGTCAGCAGTCCCATACCTCTTAAAGGAATTGGAGTCATAACTGAAACACAAAGAAATCTCTATGTGGTTACTCTAGTGAATTCTATCAAACATTTTAGAAAGAAATATGGCCAATCTTACACAAACCAATTACAGGTAAATGAAAAAGAACAAAACCTAACTCATTTCATTAAGCCAACATAGCCTTGATGCCAAAACCTGATAGGGATATTATAAGCCAGTGTCATACAAAAACATAAATGCAAAATTCTTAAACAAATACTAGCATAAAGAATCCAGGAATATATAAAAAAGGATAATAAATCATGATATTATATTTTAGAAATTATATTATGTAATTAACTATATTACAGAATAAAAGAAAAATCATACATCTCAGCAGATGTCAAAAATGTATAAAATTTAACACAAGAGATTAAAAAAAGAGTAGCAAACTAGGAATAAAAGGAATTTCCTCAATCTGAATGAGAAGTATTGACAAAACAGCTATAGCAAACATAATACTTAGTGGTGAAATGCTGAAAACTTTCCTTTTGATTCAAGAATGTCCACTATCGACATTTCTACAGAACAATGTGGAAGCCTTAGCAAATAAAGCAAGAAAAATAAATCTTAAAAAATGTAAGATTGGAAAAGAAAAAGTAAAACTGTCATTACTTGTAGATAACATGATTATGTATACAGAAAATCCAAAAGTGTATACAGATTGGCAAGGTAGCTGAATACAACAATGAACAAATATCAACTGTAATTATAGATACCAGTTATAAAAAACAAAAGTTTTTAAAAGTAACTCTAACAAAGATGTACAGGATCTCTACAAAGAAAGTTACATTACTGAGTGAAATTCAACACAACCCAGATAGAAAATCCTAGCAAGTATTTTTTCCTCCTGAACTTGACAAAAAAATAGGAAATGACGGTTGCAAATCCTACCTCTCTAATAATTACATTAAGTGTAAATGGATTAAACTCTCCAATTGAAAGCCACATGAGATGCCAGCTCACACCTACCAAATTAACAGACTGACAATCAGTATTGTTCAAAACATAAAGCAACAGGAATTCTTATATGGCCAATTGCAGTATAAATTAAAACTAGTTTGGAAAACTGTTTGGAATTATTTAGTAAAGATAAAGATACACAAATCTGATGATCAAGCAATTGTACTGGTAGTTGTACACGCAATTGAAATATATGTACATGTGTACCAAGACATGTGCATGAATGATCACAGCTACATTATCCACAAAAGAGAGAAATGGAAAACAACCCAAATGTAGAAGTTAAAACAAGTATCACTACACACAACAAAATGGATGAATGTTACAAACATAAATGCTGAACGAAAAAAGTCAGACTTGAAAGACCTCATCTTTTATGATTCCACTGAGATAGAAAGAAAAAAAAAAAAACAGGCAAAACTTAACTATAGTTTTTAAGAATACATGTTTAAGCAGTAATTCTATACAGAAAAGCAATGTGATGATTACCACAAAAGTCAGGATGCTGGATACTTTTGTTAGAGAACAGTGGCTTCTGGATAACAGCAATGTTCTGTTCCTTGAACTGGGTGGTGGTATGTGGACATTTGCTTTGTGGTCATTCATTGATGCATATGAATATGTATATATTTGTATATTTTTGTTTTGTATAGTTTTCTTCATAGGTACTAGGCTATATGTCACAATAAAGGTTTAAAACTGTTTACAGTAGACTTTAGCAAAACAAAATATGTGTAACTAAAACATTTAAACTATAATCTCACCTCTGAAAAATGTTTAGTATTAATAAAATGTGGTTCAGCTAAACTTAAAAAAATCATAATTTCTGACACAAAAAAAGGGATATTGTGATACTATACTGTATACTGTGAATGCTGAGGTAGTTAGCTCCTAAAAGAAAAGAAACAAAGTGACCTAGTAGGCAGAGAAACAAATTTAGCAGATTAGCTTGGGGACAAAATGAAAAGATATAGTAATGGTTCAGAGAGGCAGCATTCTCTATCTCTCTTCCCAAGCCAACATCAGGCCTATGACATTTTTTACTAGTATGTTTTCTCCTGAGGACAGATAAAAATGTCACATACACACATACAAAATTCCTTTCAATGAAGAAACAAAACACTGTCCCAATGAAAGAGAGAACTAAGCAGCAAATAATACTTCATTTTCTGACACAATATTGTATACTCATTACTGAACGTGTTAACCAAAAGAAAATAGCCACTTACTTGATCAAGATTTGAAAGGCTGTTAGGATCCTGACTCAAACCCTGGTACTGTCCTCTGAGTCTGTCACCAGCAGCTATTTTCCTAAACTTCTTCAGATCAACAACATACAGTGCACTGGATAAAGAAGATCCATTTGTTATAACCATGGGTTATGGCAGAAAAAATAACTCCATTGAACAATGGAAAAGGTCACCACTAGGCAATCATTCTGGTTTCTCCCTGAAAAGGTAAGCTGAGGCCCTATGGTGGAGCAGAGGGTCAGTATGTGCTACTTCAAAGATAGCTAAGAAAGTTCCTACAAACCCCATATTCTGCCACTGCAGGCTCAGTTTGTCACTGTTTCTTATTTAATTGCCTTCTGAAGGAAATAATCTCTGACAAATGATTTCTAGCAAAACTTAGCATATTAGGAAATAAAAGCTTTAGAAACTGCTAAATAACCATTAGTCAAAGATATCCTGATGATGTCAAATGTTGCAGGAAAACAAACAAACAGTGTTATTATTCTTTTGGACCAATAAAACTGAAATCACCATACCCCAACATTTATCTCTGTATATGCTGCTTCCTACAGGTCCCCCTACCCTCCAAATCTTCCAAATTACAATTTGACCAGAGAAGATAATGTTCATTAGAAAAGCAACAAATGCATACATAGTTTGACCTAGGAGTTATGCTTCTAGGAATTTATCCTGGAGCTAAACAATGTATTTAGTTATTCACTGCAACACTGTATGTCATAGCAAACTACAATAAATATAACATTTATACTCCAATAATATGTAGATGTATAAAGGAATAAGGTCTCTGTGTACCTATTAATATAAATAACAAGATCTACTAGAGATATTAAGTTAAAAAAAGTATGGCACAAAACTGTAAATAGAATGGTATATTTTGTATAAAAAAATTCATCATATTTTGTATAAAAAATAATTCATAGCTGTTTATGTAAGAATTAAGAAACCCTAGAAGGACACAGAGTGAATTAATAGAGGAGGTTATCTGTTGTGAGATGGAAAGTAGGTGGAAGAGAGCCAGGATTGAGAAGACTTTTTTTCACTGTAAATTTTTATAATTTTTATTTATGAACCATATTAATATATTAACTATTCATGGTTTTAAATATACAAAATTAATTTTAAAGAAAAGTAAATCAAAAAACTGTTAGGAGTACTCCTTTTTCAGTACCTGATATGATACTTTCGCCCAGCTAAGTGACTGGCCCAGTACCCTGATTTCCAGAACCTGTAGCCATCCATCTCTCTTCGGCTATCACAGAAAGGGGTATAACCATAAGGGGCACCGTCTAAATTGAAATCTCTTAACTCTTTCAGATCTGTTCGTACAATCTGGAGAAAAGAAGATCACAAGTCATTTGTTCAACAACCATGCAGTAGCAGTTTCCTTAAAATAAAGCGTGCCTCACTGACAGCGTAAGGGAGGGCAGCTCGGTGGTTAATGGCAGAGGCTCCAGCAGGAGACTCAGTTTGCACCTGGATTCCTCCACTGATTAGCTGGCTGCCCTCACTAACACGTAAGACGCTTAGCATAGTGCTGGCATACAGCAGTCTAAGTATTCAAAAAGAGTAGAAATAAAACAAATTTACATTGTTTAGTTTCTCTGTGACTTAGTTTCCTCATCTGTAAAATGGAGAGCTCACAAGGCTGTTAGGAAATTTATGTGAATTAATGTATAGACATATGTGAAACAATGCCTATTTTTAGTTTGTATGCAAAATGAATTAAGATACAAATTACACATAATGTAATGACAACTATGTAAAAGAGGCATAGAAAAAAATATGAAAAGGAGATACATCAAGTGCAAATTTTAGAAGTGATCACATCTGAATGATAACCTTTCCATATATTCTAAATAATGTAAAGTAAGCACGTACTTTTCCAATTAGAAAAATAAAATCATTCAAAAAGGAAAAAGAAGCCTAATGACTTTAATACAAACTTTTTAAACCTGGCCTTTAAGAGCTTACCTGATCAGCATCCACGAACAGGAACTTGTCAACAACTAATGGGAAGAGCACATCCAGGAAGAGAATCTTGTAACCCCAGATGATACGCTGCTTTTCAGTCTGTTGATGAAGCCACCGGGGCCATTTGTATTGAACAAGCTCATATTGGAAATTGTATTCATTTGCCATATAAGGTATAAACTCCTATTTTTAGATACAGGAAACAACAAACAATCATTTACTTTGATTAAGAAAAAAGACTTCATAATATAAGTCAACCACCATGATTACGGCACAAATAAAACACATTTACCTTAACAATGGTCTAATAAAAAAAAAAAAAACCTGACCCTGAATCACTTGTGACTACATAAAAGAATACATATAAACTTTTGTCAAATCCTCCTTCCTTTATGACTTTTAAGCACCACATGAAATGACAGAAATCTTTAAGTGAAGGCTTTTAGATAACTAATTTACATCTCTGTGCATGTGTGTTTAAGGGAAATGAACTTTAAGTTCATTTGTCTAAACTTGATCAGTACAATATTTTTTGAGCTTGATTTTAAGCCTTTCTCTCAGCTAGGTCTAACCCAGGGAATGACATGACGAACACAGAAAATCTGTGTTTAGAAACACAGATTCTAAATATGCAAGTACCTTCAGGGGAACCAGGAGTGAATTACTTATCTAGAAGAGTTATTACTGAATAGTTAACAGTTATTTAGTAAATTCTACAGAACAATAACAAAAAAGATGCAAACAAATCAGTTTGGATAACAAATACTAACTGATATAAATAAAGCAGAAAACTTTCCAAGTGTGTTGTTTTGTATAGATGAAGCATTACTTCTATAGAGCACTGGGTAGTTGGTCATGATAGAATTATCCTACTCACTAGAAACCAGCACCGTGCTTTCTAAATAAGCTAGGACATACACACTCAGAGGAAGAGAATGTTATTCCATCAAAGTAAAAGATATGGACTCTCCTCCTATGTTATCTAAGCTTCAAACAGGATATAACTTTGGGTTCGGTTTTATAACAACTGCTCCTCCAAAATACACCAATTTGGAAGAGTCATCAAGACAGAAATATGCAACTGAATCAGGGTAACTTAATAAAAGGAAATTTTAAAAATTTTACAGATAACACAGAAGTAGTAGAAAGTAGATTATACTGCACATATCTCCTTAATAAGAATGCTTTCCTTTTCCCCGAGGAACAAACCTTAAACGTGGGAGACAAATAATTCTTCAAGAACCAGAATTTTACAGGAGTCTTGGTATTCTTCAGTACTGATAACATCATTATGCTGTCAAAGAAAAGCAAATATTAATAATCTTCCAATGCTTTTTAATCTCGACAAAATCAAGCACAGCAAATAAGACCACTAAATGTTCTTCACAGCAGAACTCAATCAGGCAAAGACAGACTCTTAGTCATGGAAAATCACTAATGGATAATTATACTTACTCCTTCTTACAAAGTTATCACTGAGAAAGAGTATTTCTCACCTATAAAAATATATCTCGCTGATAAAGGCAAATATTTAATTACATTACATATTTAAATAAACTGCTTCATGAATTAATATATTAATTATGATAAAAATGAATAATGAGGTTGTGGTTAACTAATTACACCACTCTGAAAAGAAAATCCGTAAAGGCCACAGCAGCTCTGTGTAACTGCCTTGTCTCCCACAGCCTGTACTGGAGAAGAGCAGGGAGTGGTAAGGGGATGGCAAATAGTTTCAGGATTCCCCACTTTGAAAACAAACAAAAACATATTTTGAGTCAAGAAATTTAATTAAATTCAGTTGTTACTGACATCTGACATTAATATTTTAGGTCAGATATTGTTTCATGGAAATAGGAGGCCTAAAACATGAGTAAAATGAGATTTTGATTATTTGCTATACTAGATTTATGGTAGAAAATTAAAAGTAACAAGAACCCTGGCATTAGGAAAGTCACTCTCAGGCAAAGGCACCTTCCTGATCACTGACCACGATGCGCTCCTGAGGGCCTTCCCCTGGTGACCACTAAGTCATCCAGCCCTAGCCTGTGGCCTCTCCTTGGCTCTGGCTGTGTGATGTCAGGACAGTCCCTTCACCGTCTGAGTCTCAGTCTGTCCATAAAACACAGAGGTGTTCTTATGTGAGAACTAAAATCCCCGCTGGCTCTAGATCCTATGACCCTTTAGAAGGCAGATGTAGGGTCCTGTTCCACTTCCATTCTCTACAGTAACCTCCTAATTTATGGTTTAAGCAATACTTGGTGGCCAATTAAATACCACTATTTATAATGTGCACACACTGATATTAAAATTTATAGCCTTGTAATATCCACACAGATGCATTTATTATATAGCTTGACTTCATGCTGTTGGCCAGATCAAAACAAATACAATTATATATGGTAATCTATTCACAACTCTCAGAGTGCTTCAAATACACAGAATGATAGCAGAATCCCATAAAACATTTACTCTCTAAGCATACTGTAAGAAATTCATTCATATATACTGAAATAATCAATGTGACTAACCGAAGAAATCTTTCATAGAGATGACCAGATGCAACAGAGAAAATATTAATTATGTCATCCTTATCTTGTTTCACTTCCTCAGTCTTCTGTCCTCCTGTGAAGCCCCTATAATAATAAAGGTAAAACTAAGCACACGTGAAATGCTGGTAGAGACACAGTCCTTTAAGGGGATAGGTAAAGAGACGGTGTTTTCCCATCCCTATTTCTTCCCTAGAAGGTGGTGCAGAGGGAGCAGGAAGGAGGCATCCCCTCAAACCCACGGAGAGAGCACAAGGCAAAACCATCTCGCAGGATATGAAAGGATGCTTCCTACAAGGCACCACATGGCTTCAGGAATAGATGGAAAACAGGCTATTCCACAGAATGCACTCAATATAATGGAAAGTAAACTGAGCAATTATCAGTCAGCCCTCTAAAGGGCAGGCACAACCCAACAAGAGTCAAGAAGTAAGGGACAGAAATAGCTTTACACTGAGATGGCATTAACTTCTTTTAGTCAGTTAGTGGAAAATACTCAACTATGCTAAATACACGTGCAATTTTTTGGCTGTACAAAGCAGAATCTGAAAGGCCCAAGACAGGATTATTATACTCAGAAGAAGGGAAGGATGGTGCTTATATCCTAACTTTCCTTAAAAAACATTACTTTTTAAATAATGCTGATTTACCATTTGAAGGAGTCCCAAAATCCAGATTCGTTCTCATTAGTTCCATCACTCAGCAAGTCTTCATTCACCATGTCTGCTTTCTTCTGAACCTGCAATCACATGTGATTGATCTTATTCCTCCTATTGGGTTTAACAGGCAATAAACTGATTTTCACTGGATGCACATTGTGAGCACTGCCAATGACAAGGAATTAATTCTCTCACAAGCAGGTACAACCCACTCAGAGGCTAGACGTAGTCAACAAATGTATCTTCATCATATCACACAAAACCTTAAGTGAGAAGACAGTAACCTCTTTTAATTAACAATAACTGTTTTGAGTTTGAATAATAGGCAAACAACCTCAAATACAACAGTGTAAGAACTATAGTTTGAGTAAAAACAAAGTACCATTCACCAAGCTAACAACTAGTTCTAGGTAAAAACTGTAGCCTACATGAGTTCTGTCAGGAAGGAGCCATTTAATGTCAAAGCGTTTTTTCAAGATTTACTAGTACAAAGACAGGTTGAATTTTTCTACAGTGCAAGGATCATTTTTCTGTTCAACCATATGACCTGCTTTAGATTTTACTGTGTATAAGGATTACAGGTATACGTCAAAGATATCGTGAGTTCATTTCCTGACCACCACAATAAAGCGAGTAGCTCAATAAAGCTAGTTGTAATCTTTTTTCTGATGGAGAGGGTCTTGCTTCAATTTGTAAAAAATGCAACGTCTGTGAAGCACAATAAAGAGAAGTGCAATAAAACAAGGTATGCCTGTATTTACTCTGTAATATCTTTTACTTGAATTTAAGATACTAAGAAATTTAAAATTCTGAGAATAGGAATTAGAAGTGAGAAGAAATTAAATAGGGCTACCATTTATTACTATTGTTGAAATTTTCATTGGCATTCTCCCCAATTTTCTGAGAATAAAATCATTAATAATACTTTGAATTGTGGCTATAGAAGCAACATATCTATGAAAACATTTCATCTAAAAAGAGACTTGTATTGCTCATTGAGATTATCCAAAAGATGAATAATTAAGAATCCAACTCTCTCAGCTGAAGAAAGCCATTATTTACAAAAGACATTGCACATTTAAAGCAGCATTCCTATAAACCCTATAGAAAAATTCCAAAGGTGAATTAAAGTCTTGAACTGGTTTCTTCCCTCCACTCCAGCTTTACTAAAAAATAATTGACAAATAACATTGTATAAATTTAAGGTATACAATGCGATAATTTCGTATACACATATATTGTGAAATAATTATGATAATAGCATTGTTATTTGAGTTAACACATTCATCAACTCACATAGTTTCAAGATACATATTTTTAGATAATAGCTACGAGTAACAGAATACTGCTATTTTTATTAGCTATAAAAGAGGGCTGCCTTCATATACCAAACTCACCTTCACTTTAATAATTTTGCTCTTGAAGTTATTGAGTACAACAACAACTTCATCAGCATCAGGTGGAGAATCTGTACCATCATGGCTTAGAGAGAAAAGAAAGGGAGAGAGATGGATATTACAAACTATAATTCTCAAAATGCAATAAATGATCTGACATCAATCCACATTTTTCTATCATTTTATCATAAAGAAGTTTTTCAGAACAAATTATTTTATCACAACCTGTAGGAAGCCCCTTCGAGCTATACAGAAGCACTTGTCAAAACCTCTACCCTTTAAACATTGAGCATTCCAATCGGTCACAGCCCAGACTTCCTTCGCGTCTCCCTTAAATTGCCTTCCATCAAGAGACAGGTTCCTAGTGCTGGCGAGCACTTATCTGCCATCTGTATTCACGAGGTCTGAGCCAAGCCGAGCACCTTCAATAAAAGAGTGCCCGAGACATGGGCTACTCTGCATAATCTCTGGAAACACATCCCTTCTGTTCTTTAATGGCAAGCAGCAATGCATGTGGCCCTACTTCAGAGTTTCATAAAGGTATCCTTCTGCCTGGAGGCACTCCATCAGCCAAGTCTAGGCACTGAACTCAATCTAGTATCTATACTCTGGAAGAAGAGCTATAACAAGCTTTATCTGCAGGCAGATGGGGCAGAGGAGGAAAAATATTTCCCTACTAATCAACTATAAGGCCTAAAATTTCCAGCCACTAATTAACACAGTGTTAATTGCAGAAAGCCATGATAAAATATGAATTCACTGGATTCAATGTCATTTCACAGAGAGCAGTTCTCAGGCAAAGGTAAGATTCTGATGGGGGAGCAAGAGACACTCCAAAGGCTAGGAACATCCAACGGGAAGCACAGGATTGGGGAATACCAGACCACCAGGGACAGGGAAGAATGGCCAGGGAAAGGGCACATAGAAGCAACAAGGTTTAGAGGGCGACAGATAAACTTATGACAGATTAAAACTCTATAAAACCCTCTTTGAGAAAAACATCATTTGGAGGCGAATCTACTATTTGCAATGCAGATACTGTTATAATACAAGAGTCTTCTATTTCCTGGGTAAGAAATATGCAAGAATTCACACTTCTTTCACATGTCAGGTAAGACCCTATGGGAGCTAATATGAGAATATAATAAGAGGGTGTTTAAACAAACTCTAATGGAAATAATTCCCTAAATAAATTGACACGAAGTCTTTTCACATAGCTTAAAACTAATTTAAACAGTGTTAAGCAGAATTTAGACCACACCTTTTTAAAAGGCAGTTTATAGTTTTTAAACTTATAGTCATTCGAAGCAAACCTTAAACCAAAAGCCCGGCTTCTGATGAAGTGCTTTGGGAATGCTTCCATCCCACTATGGCCAGGAAGGGCCAGTGTGAGCACCAAGGTTTCATGGCTGAAGCTCACGTGTACTGTGAGCCTGCAACTCACTCAGGGTTGAGAAATATACTGTCTGGGTAGAAAAGTCGGACCATTCTTCAATTCCTTTCTCCTTTCTTGAAATGACTCAATTTCTCATCTGCCTATGGTTTTCATCAAGTGACAGATGATTTGATTCTGTGATACTGGTAGCAGAAAGGAATAAATGAAAAGTGAAACTTTTCATTTATTGCTTACTGTCTAATTATACCCTGACAATGCTTCCATGTTTCATTTAATTTCCTGGAAAAGCATTATTTCATTTCACATACAATTACAAATTAAAGTCTTATTCCCTTGCTAACTGCCAGTGTAGTATTCAATTTGAGCTGATTTTTAGAGCAAAATGATCTGAAAAAAAAAAAATGCATCACTTAATCTTACCTGTAGATCCTATAAATATCTTCAGAACGTCCCTTCCTTAGTCTGAGAATCCAAGCTCCTGGGTTGGCCTTTAACTGAAAGTAACCCTAGGACAAGAAGAAAAGACAAATTTTAGTTCTCTTTGAAACATAAAATGTGTTTTAGAGGGATAGTTATTTCTTTTTCTGACATATCAGTCACCTATATTTTAAATAAGATAGTTAACAATTTAGTGCAAGTCTTAAAAAAAATCTACACATTAGAAACAATAACAAAATACAGGCCAGTCAAGCCAAGAAGCCGGCCCTTTAAGCTGTACTTCACTGAAGAATCAATGTGTGATGTATGAGTATGGTACAAACCTACAACTGTCAGCTCATAAGCAATGCATTTTCATGGGCCACTTTGGTTCAGAGCAGAAAATTCTAACTCTTTTTTTAAGGTGACATGTAATTACAATCTATAAGTTAAACTTTTTATACTGACCAAATTCAGTCAATCATGAATTTTAACCTTACTCATGTTCAGAATGCTAAGTGCTCCATCAAAAATTGTAGTGCCCAAATTAAAACGACTCAGTATCATCATCTGATGTATTGATTATTTACCAGATTGGCCATAACAATGGTATCCACGATGACTGGGTTGGCTGAAGTTCCTAATGTAAACTGCAGTCCTCGTGGGGGCTGACCTGTGGTAATGTCATAGCAGTGACCTTCTAGTAAGAGGTACTCCAACTCATATTCAGCAGCCACTATACTGTCCACCTGCAATATCACAATTAAATGACTTGAGGACCACTCAGCAATAAAAAGAAACACACTACATACAACAATATGGATTATGCAAAGTGAATGAAGCCAGACATAAAGGGCTACATACCATATAACCATGTTTATAAGAAATTCAAGAAAAGCAAAACTATAGTGACAAAAAAAAAAAAAAATCAGCAGTTGCCTGGGGTCACAAGTGGGAGGACAACGCTTGCAAAGGGGCAAAGAGAACTTTGCGGGTGATGAAAGTGCTCTACATCTTGATTGTGCTGGTGGTTAACAAATGTATACAATTTTAAAAATTCAGATGGGTTGAAAAGAGAGTCAGGAAAAAAGGACACAGAAAAAACAATATGGAGGTTATTCCAAAAGTACAGATGAGAAGACTCTAAGAAGGTAGTATCAGGAAAAGTATAAAAAAAAAAAAAAAAAAAAAAAAAACGCCAAAAGAATGACTAAAGCTAAAAAGCTAAACAAAGAAGAAGATAGAAAAGACAATCCTACAAGGATTAATTTCCATGAGATAACAGAGAGACAAAGAGAAAGATCCAAGAAACATCAGAGATAAATGCAAATTCATCTTGGCCTTTAGAACATAGCTGAAAACACTGCTGTTCTAGGTGCAAATGTCCAAAATGTACTTAATGCCTTCATAATGGCATAAAACCATTCATGCTCTACACCAGCTGCCTAAATTATTACCAATTCCTTGCAGCAAATATGATATAACTGCAATGTCTTGGGGGAGCTTGTATTTAACTAATTAATGAATTTCTATCCCAGGCTAGTTCCGACTTGGCTTTGTAACTCTAGCTAATGCTAATAATACACTATTTGGAGCTTAATATGTTACTGCAATGCTAGCTTCCAAAAGTATAATAAGACCTAAGAGGTACCCTCCATCTGCTTACCAAGTTTTGGGCTCTGTATATGCAGTGGAATGCAGAAAAACTGGAGGAAGCCTAAAAAAGAGCAGCCAAAAGCTCTGAAGATATAGAAGAAACACTGCTTTGTATCTGATTCTGTACTCTCTTGCACTGTTCTTTAGTGCTTGTTGTGGCCATTTCATAACCTCCTCAACAAAAGTTAGTTCTTCAAGGGCAAAGACTGTATTTCCTTAAAAATATGGTGGATAGGATTAGGGTGGGGAATAGGCAACTGTGTATATGCACACACTCCCTCCTAACTTAGTACCTACGGGAATCTTCTTAAAGAACTTAGAGTGATTTAACCTAATGAAAAGAAGGCTGAGAGATCCTTTGGTAACTATTTTTAAGTTCCTGGTTTCCCAATTGCCAAAAAGACAGAACAGGCTTCAACTGTAGCAGGAGACATTTAAGGTAGACACAGAGACAAATGTCTGTAAAAAGAAGGAAGCTCTGAGAAGCTTTAAGCTCCTTGAAGTGAAGGCCATGTTTTTTCATTCTTTTGTTAATACACTCTGAGCTAGGTATAGAGAGTGAGAGCTATGAAGAGACATCAGTGAAATTATACTTGTGAGCTCTCTATCTTTGCAAATAGATTAGGGGAAAAAGACCATTTACCTTAATGACTCAAAATACAGTTATATGTAAATAAATGAAATAGAGAAAAAAAATAAAGAAAAAAATCAATAAAGTCAAAAGACGGTTTTTCAAAAATAGTAACCAATTGACAAACTTTTAGCTAGACTGACAAGGAAAAAAAAGAGAAAAGAGCCAACTTACTGAAATCAGCAAGGAAAAAGAAGACATCACTAATAAACTTAAATTAAAAAGACCATTAAAAAGTGCTGTAAATAAATGTTTGCCAACAAATGAGATAATTTAGATAGAAAGGAAAAATTCCTAAGATACAAAAACTCCAGAAACTGATTTAAGATGAAACAGAAAATCTAAATAGACCTGTAGCAAAAGACTGAATTAGTAACTTTTAAATTTCCCAATTAGGTAAGAAAATAAAATAAAAGATATCTAGTTTGGAAAGAACGAAGTAAAACTCCCTCTATTTGCAGACAAAATGCTCTTATACAGGCTTGTACACTAAGAACTACAAATCACTGCTGAATGAAATTAAAGATCTAAATAAATGGAAAAACATTGCATATTCATGGGTCAGAACACTATTAAGATGGCAGCTCTCCAAATTGATCTAGGGATTTAATGCAATCGCCATCAAATCCCAGCAGCCTTTTCTGCAGATATTAACAAGCTGATTCCAAAATGCAAAGAACCCAGAACAGCCAAAACAATCTTTAAAAAGAAAAACAAACTTAGAAAACTCACACATACAAATTTCAAAACTCACTACAAAGCTACAAAAAAGAAGACAGTGTGGCACTGGCCTAAGGATAGGAACACAGACCAATGAAATAGAACTGACAGTTTAGAATGAAACCTTCACATTTAGGGTTGATCGATCTTCACCAAAGGTGCTGAGACCATTCAACGGGGAAAGAACAGTCTTTTCAAAAAATGGTGCTGGGTGGGACAACTGGATATCCACTCAAAGAATAAAGCTGGACCCCTACTTCATGTCATATACAAAAATTAACTCAAAACAAAACAAAGACCTAAATGTAAGAGTTTAAAACTTTGAAAGTCTTAGAAGAAAACACAGGAGCATATCTTTGGGACTTGAAATTAAATAATGGTTTCTTAAGTAGAACCCCGAAAGCACATGCAAAACAAACAAACAAACAAAATAGGTAAATTAGACTTCATCAGATTTGAAATGTTTGTGCTTTAAAGGACATTATCCAGAAAGTGAAAAGACAATCTTTGAAGGAAATTACTTGCAAATAATATATTTGATAAGGGACTTGTATCCAGAATATATAAAGAACTCTTAAAATTTAATGAAAAGAAAAACAAATTTTAAAAATAGGCAAAAGATTTGACTAGACATTTCTCCAAAGACAGTATACAGATGGCCAATAAACGCATGAAGAAATGCTTAATGTCATTAGTCATTAGAGCAAACAGAAAACGGTAGTTACCTTGGAAAATAGCTCGGCAATCCCTTAAAGGGTCAAACATAGAATTACCACATGATCTAGGAATTCTGCTCCTAAGTATATATAATACCCAAGAGAAATAAAAGCACATCTACAAAAATCTGTAAATGAATGCTCATAGTAGCAATATTCATTAACAGCCAAAAGTAGAAATAACTCAAATGTCTATTAATGAATGGATAAATTAAATTTGGTATAGCTATACAATAGAGTATGAGCTGGCAATAAAATAGAATTAAGTACTAATATATGCTACAACATGAATGAATCTTGAAAATAATTAAGTGAAAGACGGCAGTCATAAAAATACACTATTATATTTAGATAAAACGTCGGAAAAGACAAATCCATAGACACAGAAAGTATATTAGTGGTGGCCAGAAGGAATGGGGAGTGACTGCTAATGGGTATGGAGTTTCTTTTGGGGTGATGGAAATATTCTAAAATGAGATAGTGATGATGGCTAGATAATATATTAAAACTACTGAACTGTATATTTTAAATGGGTAACTTTTGTGGTATGTGAATTAGATCTCAATGAAGCAATTATTTTTTAAAAATACAATTGTGCCTGAACATTGATGTCACAAAGGCCTTTCTACACTGGGATCCAGTCTGTTCAGTCGGAGACTAACATCACTACTACATCTTAAATAGGTTTTACACATGATTAGATACTTGGAAGCAATGATATTCTTACCTCTTCTAAATAAATATTATCCAGATCATATGGTGTTCTGACAGACTCTATCATCCAACTCTCAGGTGTGTTCAAATTCAGAGTGAACAGAGGAGATTGTGGCATATCCAAAAATTTTGCTATTGGACCTTTAGCAAAGCTATTGTCTGAAGTGAAAGAAATCTCTGGTTCTAAGACATAACGGTAAAAGCTGAAATTAAAAAAAAAAAAATGTTAGTTTTTAAAAATACAACCGTAGTCGAGATTACAGGTATTCATACAGGTAAAAAACCGGCTCACAACAAACAAGATTTGGAAGAGTATCCTTTCAAATTGGGAAGTGTTTCCAAAACCATGTCTCGACTTAATTAAACCTCCTGTAATTATTACAGATGCAAGAGAAGAGCAAGAGGGATAGGACTGAGAAGGAGGTCATTCCTTCCTGCACTGTTGCATGTGGCGGCTGTTGGGGTTGCAAGCATTTCCTGAGAGCTCACCTCCCTTCAGTGAGAAAAACTCACTTACATTTCTCCTGTACAGGGAAACTGGTGGAAGCTGGGAATGAACCTTTTTGTCACTTTTAAACACTGTTTCAATTCATTTAGAATCTAACCTATAGAACACAGCACATTTATAAATTAGGAATTTCCCATAGCCCCAACATGTGCTATGCTGCTGCGATTAGCTGCTTTTTATGTAATGTTTTTCATAAATGACCATTCCGAACCTCAGAAGGTATTCCGCTAAGGCTGCCCTCCTTTTCAAGGTATATGGGAATAACCCTCAGCAAGCTCCCTCCGGCATACATGCTGCAACTTGAAATAACTCTTCTTCTTCTAAGATGAAAAAGTACAGACAAGTGTCTTTCCTCACCACAGCATATTTTAACAAACTAGGTAAATTTAATAGCTACACTGACCCAAATGTTCTAAAATTAGAGAACTATATAATTCTGACACCCCCAAAAGAAAGAAAAGCAAGGATCTTGAGTCAATGCTACCTAAATACTCCCATGCCCATGTTAGGTTATTAGAACTTCTGATTAGAGCAGAAATTTTGCAAAACTAAACATTCAGTAAATAATCTTTTCAAATTCATTTGATCCTTAACATTAAATATCAGCTTTCTGATTTAATACTGCTTTTTCAACTGCTTATTTCTTCAACTTGTTTTACCTTTTTTTTTTTAAATGGTGACATTGGTTAATGAAATCCAGTGAGTTTCAAGTGTATAATTTAACAGTAAGTCATATATATACTGCATTGTACGTTCACCGCTCATAGTTAGATTTCTTTCTGTCACCACATATTTGACCCCTTTTACCCCATCGACCTCCCCGCTTTCCCCACCTTTTTTACCTTTTTAAAGGCATGTCTGAAAGTTTAGATTGGCAATTCATAAATACTCTTAGATTCATGTTGATCAGCTGAGTTAAAACCTAAAAGAGCAAACCAGAGGACAAAATATAAAAATTTTTCCTATACAGAAAATGATATTTGAGACAAAATATTTACATTTTCTCTTCAGAAATTTATTACTTGATACTGAGTTGAGAGAGAGAACATTTCCTACTATCTCAAAAAACATACAGAGATAATAAATGCCATAAAGTCTGCACTGGAGAAATTTCTAGAAATCACAACTCTAATGAACAATCTAAATCATAAATACACATCATTTGGCCAAAAACATGGAAAGTAAGCTATGCAAATCACTGCTCCCCACATGTGTGAAGCAACAGATAATGAATAGCTGTCTATACAAGGAAAATTTTAAAGATTCATCAGTGCAGCTTACATATACTATAATATGAAAAAAATATATAAAAATATCCACAAAAAGATCAGTTGATTATAATACATTAAAACTTTGTCCTTAAAAAAATACAACTGAAAAAAAAAGTTGTGGCGTCTGTGTTTTAGGCAGAGCTCTTTTAACTTTAAGATTGAAAAATATTATACATATCTAAAAGACATATTACCAAAGAAATGCTAGTTATGAAAGAGGAAAATGATAAAACAAAATTCTTTTAACTTTTTAACTCTACCATTATAAATTAAAATATGGTATAAATCAATTTTATTCAGACATTTTCCTCTAAATAAAGATAATTTTTTTCCTTAATTACATGAACTACCCAACCAAAGCTGTACCAACTAAGGTTATGAAGCTATTTTCAGAGTCACTACCAATCTCTAATGAAGACATTTGCTCGCCCAAGATGCCCTGTAGCATTTTCCAGTGCCCTTTGAAGACAACTAAGGAAACAATGATGCTCTCAGAGAATCACAAGGCATGTGACCAGTTCAGATAGAAATGATAACTGCCTCTGCAGCTGTCCCTACCAAGAGCAATGGAGCAAGTCTCTGTGATTCTCTAGTGACGGGGTCAATGACAGCCACGACATCAAAGTACGGCTCCCCTTCTTTTGGCCTCAGTTTAATTGCACTACAGAGATCAAAAGATAAAACATTAACTGGAGGAAAACAGGAAACAAAGTTAATTTTTTTGCAGGGGTAGGGTGTCTAGCATGACCTATCAGCCCTCTTAGCATTTCAAAAAGAAAAACTTTAGGTCTAGAACAATATGGCTACATTATAGTCAACTATGTGATTATGTCTACCTCAGAGGTGACAAAACCCTCTAATGACTCAGATTCATTGGAAATGGACTGAAAGATGTATATTAAGAGAACCAACCTGAAATTGTATTTAGCCAAAAACTGCTAAAAACTTCTGGTGTTTGTTTTTGACAATTATAGAATATTATACAAATTTTTATTTCTTGGCAAGAAGGGTATGAGAGAAAAAATTAAAATGATTTTTTAACATAATAAAAGGAATTTAAGAACATTACAGAAAACTTACAAAAGAGAGAAAAAGATAATTAATAATCATAACATCTCATCATCCAATTGAACCACTTTGTGGCATATACTATGTACTCCTTCTTAAATGTCTGTATAAAGACCAGCTGTACCTACAGAATATTCAATTTCCCTCCTTCCCCCACCAGTTTATCCTAAAGATTTTCCATGTTGTTACACCTCAAATATCCTGAATAAGAAGTAATTATCTATTTTACCAAGTAAATCTGTCATAGTTTACTTATTGCTGGACATTTAGATGGCTTTCAACCAGTAAAATAACTTTGTATATACAGCTTTTTTCATCCTTGGAAATTTCTTTAGAGTCAATGAAGTCCTAGATATGAGATTACTGAGTCACGGGATACAAATATCTTTTGTGGCTATACATACTGTCAACCACGTTTCCAGAAGAACTGAACAAATTTACAAGGCCAAGAAATGAACTTTACCACATTTTGTCAGTATTAAGTTACACCTATTTTGTCTGTTATCAACAAATGAAACACAACAGCTGGTTAGATTTGAGCTTGTACTTCCAGTATTTCTGGGGAGAGCGTGCATTTTCTCATATGTAGTTTCCAGCTGCAGAGCCTCCTTTTAAAGACACACTGACTTAGGTGACTCAAGAGGAGCAAGAGCCTCTGATATATTTTTAAAAGGAATACACTTTAAAGGATTTAAAATACATTTAATTTCCAAAAACATTAATTGCTTATATCAATGTTTATCTTTCTTCTGAACAACACTTTAACATAGTTTTGATGATAACCACTACTTTTACGCAAGAAAATTTCATCCCCAGTGGGGCGAAAACAAAAGTACAAAACAGAACATAACTAACAAAATTGGGTAACTATAGTTTAAATGGTGGTAAAGGTTATTTCAAATCTTAATTGCTTTGGAAATAACCGGCAGGATAACTTTATGACTGCACTGCAGCAGCCGCTCTCAGATTTGCTGTATTGCAATAATTATTGGTAACTGGAATTGTTAACATTCCAGTTACCAATAATTATTGCAATACAGCAAAATTTTTTACTCTGATAGATCTGTTCTTAAAGTGTGACTTCAGACCAGCAGCATCAGCCTCACCTGGAAATCTGTCAAAACAAATTGTCAGTCCCCAACCCAAACCACTGAATCAGAAACTTGGGGGATAGGCCCAGCAATCTGCATTTTAACAAACTCTCTAAGCGAAAACAAGAGAGCTACTGCCCTCGGATAATTTGGATCTCTGTGTGACTCTAAAATTCTAGAAGGAAAAGCTCATTAGAGAATAGTATCATACAGAGTATCACAAAGGGAACAAGAAATGGAGTCCCCAAACAGTCCTCTAGAGGATAGCTGAGTCAGGCTCGCCAAGAGACCCTGGCACTTTGGGGGAGCATTTTGTTTGACACATTCATGTTCTAAGCCAGTGGTCTAGGTTATCTGTAACAGGTATACCCAGAAACTGACTCTGTGAGGTCTTTTAACCAACCCCAACATCTATGACAGAAAAAGAGGGCAAGACAAAAACAGAAAAGAGAAATATTGGTGAAGAAACGGAGAACAATATAAACTAACAATGTGTTTAAATATACCCACTGCATTGGTCAGAGAAAGACCAGAGTAAGGCCAAAAGAGACAGACAAAGGAATAAAATTTGGGGCTCATACACATTTTTGTGAGATGAGTAGAGCAAATGTGAAAAAAAAAATACAGTGTTTGTAGACAAGAACCACCCAGGGGACCTCATTACCATGGAGATGCTGATTTGGGAAGTCTGGGTTGGAGCCAGAGATGGCATTTCCAACAATCTCCCAGACAATACCCCACTATTATTCCAGGGACCACACTTTTAGGACAAGGGTACACATAGCCAATAATTCAGACTTTTTTGTTGCAAAAATAAGAAACTTCTGATTTAAATGAAACTCAACTAACACAACCCCAATACGAATTTCTCTAATTATAATTTGTACCATAGTAGAATGTGTAATTAGGGTATTTCAATTATAATAATAAGACTCACAGAGAAAATGATGCTCTAGAAAGGAAAGTGTTCTTGCTCAGGATTCACTATCTTGGCTATGAAAGGTGAACACGATATCAGAGCAGTTAGGAAAATGTTTCCGGCAACAGTAACTATACAATGAGTTACTTCCTGAAAGTATATAGAGCAATGAAAAGATGAGCACTAATGGGCAAAATCCAATTAGGGTTATTAGCAAGGAGCCACAGAATTCTCACTCACTGGCAACATAAGAAATTAGGAGACACAGTCAGTGAGAAAAGAGAGAGGATCCATTCTAGCCTGGAATTGTCAGTCTATTCAAATTTGATCTCCACAAGGATTGGTGTGAGAAAATATAGATCAACTAAACCAAAGTCCAACCTACTGCAGACTAATTAAATCAGAATCACAGAGGAGCACAATACAGGCTTCTATCTCAAGCTTCCCTGGTGAGCCTAAGGCACGATACGGATGTATACCTGCCAGGTAAAGCAAGGGCTACATATGCCAACTGCAGGGTTCCTCCTAGAGACAAGTTAATATTATATCTAATCACGAGGAAACAACTCAAACTGTGAAACATTCCACAAGACAACTGGCCTGCGCTGAAAAAAGTAAATGTCATGAAAGACAAGAAAGGAAGAAGGAAAAGAAAGAAAAGAAATCAAGAACTGTCTACATTAAAGGAGACTAAAGAGATATAACAACTAACCACAATTTGTGATCTAGACCAAAATAAAATAACAAAAGAGTTGTAAAAGGTCATTACTAGGGTATTGAGGAAATTCGCATATGGACTATGTAGTATTTAATATTACTGTATCAAAGTTAAATTGCTGAGGTATGCTAATAAGTACTGTGGAGAAAACTCCTAGTACTCAGGAGATAATATACTGAAGAATTTAGATATTATGTGTAATAATGTCTGCAATGTAGTTTCAATATAGTTCAGAAAATATGTGTGTGCATGTATATCATATGTACTAAGTAATTATATGTACTATATACATTATATGTACTATAAACACATACATACATACACACAGATGACGTAAAAGTAGCATTTGTTAAGAACTGGTGAATCTAGGTTAAACATATTCTCTAGGCTTGAAACTTTTCAAAATAAAAAACTGAAAAACAAAAGGCAAGGACTTCCTCATAATGCTAAACTTATTTTTATTTTATTGAAGACAGTTTTCAATAAAAGATGACAAAACAAGTGCTCTAACAAACTGTGCTTAGTCTTGAGTATCAAAAAATTACAACTGATCAACTTCATTAAATGCTTTCTGTTTTCTAAGAGTACATTCAAAACTACTTCACATGTATTTACAAATAAATATCAAATTTTATATAACTGAGATCTGTATATGAATTTTACATCTTAATATGTATATGAAAACTGCACACTGAATTTTCCATTCATATGAGAACTTACACACTTTATAAGAAAAAATAAAGGATCTGAGGTAAAGGCAACCTCAAGAGTTTAATATTCAAGATGGCACTGCAAGCAGTGTGGAGCATGTGGGGTGCAGGTGCAAGGTGCATGCCACTTCAGTGCCTACCTAGGCTTTGGAGGCTGAGGGCCTGCAGGTTGCTGCACAACGGCCCCAACTGGTTCTCAGGATGTAAATTCACAGAAGAACAGGTAGGGATAACAACAAAAAATGGTTGTTATCCCTACCTGTTCTTCTGTGAATTTACATCCTGAGAACCAGTTGGTTATCCCTACCTGTTCCTCGGAACAGTGGGAATCAGTAATTTTGCACTGGAAGCTTTGGGAGATATTGTTTACTATAGTCTGCCTGAAGATGGGTAAAAATTGAACAAACAAGATGAGTTTGGTGCTTTGGAAAGTGTGAAAGCTGCGAATGAACTCTATGCTCTTCCATCAGGAGAAGTAACTGAAATTAATGAAGCTCTTGCAAAAATCCAGAACTCGTCAACAACTCTTGTTATGAAGATGGCTGGGTGATCAAGATGACCTAAGTAATCCCTCAGAACTACATGAACTAATGAATGATGGAGCATATGAGAAATACATAAAATCTATTGAAGAGTGAAAATGGAACCTCCCCCAAATAAAGTAGTATGAAACAACTTAATCTAGGACAGTTGTCTTAAATTAGTGGTGGACAGAAGATTTAAAATAGCAACTTTTAGTACTATCAATGGAAAAAATATCTAAAACAATGCTACTGGAAGAAAACGTCCCTTAACGCTCTAATGATTGCAGATAAACACAATATGCATCTTTTCCTCAACACCCTGTGATTTTTTAGGCTAAGCTACAGTTATAATATTCAGAATTCCTGAAATTATCAATGGTAAAACCTGGTTATAAAATTATATAATTCAAGGATAACATTGCTACCTTAAGCCTTATATAATATTGTAACTTGCTTATATCTGTCTCCAAATTTGGGTCAAAATCATCTTCCCATTGAAGATAACTGTCAGTGGAGGAAAGTTTTTGTTAATTGCACTGTCAGATGATGAACAATACTATCTTAATTTTGTAAATATACTGCATTTGCTGGTGCTATTTTTATATAGTGAAGCAATAGCCATGCAAGAAAATAAGAAACAGTTTGAAAATAATACATTCAACCTCTACATTAAAAAAAAAAGTTTACTATTTTTGAATATGTACAAATTCAACATTATTTCTATACCTGTATCTGTCTTCAAAAAACTGATATTCGATTCTTGCATCTCCTTTTGGTTGAGCTGACAGGAGGGCATCCACCTTCATTACCAAGTCACTTGCCCTGAAAGAGTGGTTGGCAACAGTTCAGCACCCCTTAAACTGAAGGTTTTTCCAGTTCTTGCCAAACATAATATAATCAACCAAAGTACTGAACACCAACGAGATAGTTTGAAGAAAGTATAAATTTTGTACCAACAGACATGAGAAAAAGTACTGACTTTGTGAGTAATTAGTTTTATAACTTTGGGGAAGGTACTAATTTTTCCACATGTGAAATGGAGACAATGCCTACTTTGGATGGCTCTTGTAAATATTGCACTGGCTAAACACATAAAGCACCTAGCTCAAGGCCTGGCCCATAAGAGACTGTCAGTTAAGTTATTTACACTCTCTCTCACCCTCTTCTTAATGACTTTATTACTTTTTATCATTATTAGAGTAATAATTCACTAGAAAAAATTTCAGGAAAGAATATAAAGAGAAAACTGAGATATAAACAATACTATTATCAAGAAATAAGCACTGAAACATTTTGGTTCGTAATCCTTCTATATTTTTAAATAAATATATATACAAAGGTGGAATTATTCTATCTGGTAACCGGTTTCTTCATTTAACAATATATTATAACCATCTTTTTGTTAGTTAAGAAACACAAGGGTACATCGATATTTTCAGTGACTGTATAATATCATATTTATGGATGCACCATAATCTATTATGTCAGCTAGCTATTGAACACCGAGGTTGTTTCCTATATCACTATTATAATAAACACTGTGGTGAACAACTGAGAGAAGTGTTTCCACTCTCTCGACCCCTTCTAAAGTTGATTTCTAACCAAGGAAGATCTTGAACTAAATCATGAGATTGAAAAAAAAAAAAAAGCTCTAATCTGCTGAAACAAGAACTAAATTCCAAAAGAGCACTTGTGAAGATATCTGAACTGGAATCAAGCTACACATCTTCTCACTGAACCAAACAACTATATCAAATTACCTCTTCTGGTATTTCTCAATACTAACTCTGAATACAGGCCATTTGTTTCCTGTGATATGTCAACAATGTCACAAAACATGTCAAGTGACACTTGGTTCTGTGAATTGGGCTAAGCAGGCTGACGAGAAACTTCATAAAGGCTCATGAAGCACCATGATCAAAAAGCCCACAACTGAGCTGTAGAAAGGTAAGGAGAGCCTCATGGCTGCAAGTCGGAGTTGTGAAAGAAAGCTGTGGCTATGATGGGGGAGCGGGGTGCACTCCAAGGTGGAACAGCTATGGCAGTAACCCTGGGCATGCAAGGTAACTGAGAACCTTAATAGTTTTAGAATCAATCTTTTGGCAGCCCTATGAATACTTTATCTCTCTAAATTCACCCAGGACAGGTCCAGAGCCATCTCTGACTGATAAAAGCCAAGTCTTCCAGGCATAGTCTGACAATTATATACTAGCCCATAAAGAGTCCAAGGGGGTATCCCTCACCCCAAAACCTCCACAGAGAAAGGAGTGATCCAAAAGAATAGCACATCAAGCCTATGGCTATGACATGGTGGCTTCAAGCCATGGGGTACCTCCTGGCCTATGAAAGTGGTTCATACGCCGGAACAATGGGCATCGATCAAGAGCCACTGTAAGAACCTCTAGTCTGTAAGAAAAAAAGATTCCTTCCCATATCACACAAGACTTAACAAAGGGACTACTTTGGCAGCTACTGAAATCAGTACTTCACTAAGACATGCATCTTGAATCTGCAGCATGATAATATATGAAAAAAATGAAGGAAAAAAAAAACAGAAAAACTTTTAAATTAAATTTTATATCCTCCACTATGCATCAAAGGACACTATCAAGAGAGTGAAAAGGCAACCCAAAGAGTGGGAGAAAATATCTGCATGTCATACGTGTGAGAGATTGCTATCCAGAACAAATAAAGAATTCCGGCAACTTAACAACAAGAAAATAAACAATTAAAACTAAGCAAAGGACTTGGGGATATTTTTTCAAAGATGTACAAATGGCCAATAAACACATGAAAAGATGTTCAACGTCATTAACCAAACTACAAAGATACTTCATACCCATGAGAATGGTTATTATTTAAAAACAAAACAAAACCAAAAAAAAAAAAAAAATAACAAGTGTTGATGAGGATGTGGAAAAACTGGAACCCTTATGCATTACTGGTGAGAAGTAAAATAGTTCAGCTTCTGTGGAAAAGGTATGATGGTTTAATACTAGTAAATACAGGAAAAGAAGTGCTTAACCTGCCCCTTCCTGAACAAAATAAAACTGAAAGGTAATTAAAAACATAATAAGGGAAGTATTTCTTCACATTAGTATTTCAAGGTAATCAATAAACTAACCCCTCTACTTTTGCATATGTTTGAAATTTTCCACAATCAAGTTTCAAAAAATAAAAATGGAGAGAATTAATTCAGTTCTTTAAATAGCTGGCTACAAAATAATTTGTTTCAAAAGAAGCATAAATAAACACCTGCACTGAAGAGCACTACTATATTTAAAGCTGGAAATAAAACATCTTGGAATGGGCAGCACGAAGAAAGCTCAATTAATATAGCCCTACGACTTGAACAAATTGACTTCTGTGCAAAACTTACACATCTTCTTCTACTCGAAGCTGCTGAATATGAGATTTGATTTTCTGTCCTGAAGTTTTTAAGATGATATTTTCTAGGAGGTGGAAATCATCTTGATTAAAGAGTTCACTATCCTCCAGTGGCCCAATGATCTGTGAAGAAGAGCAGGGAGGTCAATGTGGGAATCCATAGACCGTAAAAAAGTCCTTTGTCATCCTCAGGCTATCTCATGAATTAAATCGCATTAAAGGCCCAAGATGTTTACATCTGAATAAAATCAATGAAAAAAGTAGAAATAAAACCCCCATCAGCTCAGATAGTTATTTACTTACTTATCAATTCCTCAACTGCATAAAGTGTAGGCTTATATACTTGTCAATAGTTTTACAGCAAGCAAACTCTGAAGTAAAATAATATAATTTTCATTAATTCTCACTGAATATAAATAACAAAGCCAAAGTAGAGATTTATATTCTCACTGAATATAAATAACAAAGCCAAAGTAGATATCAGAGATTTTACCCTACATGTTAAGAGTTTAAAATCTGGTACATTCACCATAGTCTCATTTTAGTGGCTGCAGATTTTATGAAACGGTCTAAGCCTAAACCAAATAAATTCATATAGACTGCCCAAACTATAGACATGGCCCCCACAGGGAATGAATACTTTATGTTTCAAAGACCTCACTGATTTATGTTCTGAGAGCCACCACATACTCACCACCTTGTACAATGGCTGAACAAAACTGAACAGCAGGAAGGTTTCACACAAGGACATTTATGTCAAAATGAGCAAACTTCTTTTAAAATAAGGGAGCAGAAATGATCATCAGCACTGCATAAGCCCTAATCACCTTTGAAAAAAGAGTGGCTCTGTTTGAAGAGTTTACTAGCTTCAGAGGAGAATGGTGCCAAGACAGTTCACTGATCTAACTTGAAGCCAAGCTTGTCCCAGGACAAAATCCTCACCCTTCCATTGCTGATCACTGCCCTCCGTCCCTTCTTCAGCTTCAGGACATCCCTGCAGTACATGGCATGAGACAAAATGAAATCCATTTTGGAAGACTCAAAGACCTCTTTAAAAAGACTGAAATCCATGCCCTAGGAAAGTAATTGTTATTAAGGAAAAGTAATTGTTATTAAATCATAAAAATGAATAATCAAGATGAATAAAGCATAAAGTGCTCTTTCAGTGGAAAGTAATAACTAATTCTAATAATTAACATTATGATGTCTCCATTCTCCCTCCCATTTTCCTACCCTCCTTCTTATCAGTAATGCTTAGTTCCTTTTCTTGTTCTTTCATGTGACTGTTCAATTGGCGAATTAGTGTTCATGATACCTTTATTCTGCATTTTCAAATCTTGCTAATTTCAAGTGAAAGCCTTTTTTCTAACTGAAACATCAAGTAAACTCATCATTTTTAAAGAAATTTTAAAACTACGAAACACAGTTAAAAGTATGTAACATAAATGAATAAACATGGGCTTATATTGGAAACGTGTCAAGAACACATAAGACTAACTCATCAAGCGGCTTAAATTTCAGTTTTTTGCTCTATAAACAAATGAAAAATTGGCTACCTTTTAAAAACTATACAAAACAAATGGCTTTGTGCTTAAAACATAAACTTGTATCATGCACATCTTGAAACTTATCAATTTTAAAAGCTTAATAAAGGGAATATGACAGAATTATTATTGGAAAAATTCTTCCAATCAAAAAAAGAAATCCTGTCATTTGCAATAACACAGATAGACCTCGAGATAAGCATGCTAAATGAAATAAGCCAGAAAGAAAAAGTTGAAAACCACATGATATCACATGTATGTGGGATATAAACCTAAAACTAACAAACAGGACAAACAGAGACTCATGGACATGGACAACAGACTAGTGATTACCAGAGGGCAGTGGGGGAAGGGAGAGGTAGATGGGATAAAACGGGTTAAATATGTGGTGACATTAAAGAATTTTTTTAAAAAAATTTTAAAAAAAGAAAGAAAGAAAGAGAGAGAGAGAAAGAGGGAGGGAGGGAGGGAGGGAGGGAGAGAGGAAGGAAGGAAGGAAGAAAGGAAAGAAGGAAGGAAGGAAAAAGAAAAGAAAGAGAAATTCTGAGACTCAAAACTAAAATTACAAATCCTGATCATGCAGGACACATCAGCCCATAGGAGTGAACTACAGTGGTAATTAACAGACTCACCCCAACAGAAAACTCCCTAATGTCAGCTCCTGCAGCCAGGGCCTCTGAAGTTTCTTCCTTGGCCATTTTTGTGATGAAGTTCTTAGCAGAGTTGGAGGTCTGTGTTTGGAGAGCTGCCCAGATTGCTCTGGAAATCTGAGTGTTCTTGTAACTTATATCTTCACTAGGATTATTGATCATGCTTATTCTAACATTGTTACTGGATTTCTATTCACGAAATGGAAAATAAGGGTTATATGGTAGATGTTTTGAACTTAAAAAGTGGTATTAATATCTGTCATATTCCATAAATAGCAAATAATACCTCTCTTAAAAAGTCTTCAGTAGTTCTCCCCTGCATACAAAATGAAATTAAAATGCTATAACCAAACATTCAAACCCCTATCTGAATTGCCCCCCAGCCTGCCTTTCTAACTTCCTTTCTTACCATCCCTGTAAATTCAGCATACATTATAGACTACCAGAGTCCTGTATTTCTCCCCTACACACATTCTGTATTCTCCTAATAAACATCATGTCTCACATTGGCACGTGAACCCCAAGTACACCCATCTTTGCTTCCTTAAGTCCAAACTGTCCTCGGTGCTCTGCTCAAACCCTTTTTCATTCACATGGCCTTTCCAGATTTCCAGTAAAAATTAATCTCTCCCTGAGTAAAAAGATAAGAATCCATGTGGGAGAAGATATCTGGGACCCATAAAACTAAAAAAGGGCTCATATTAAGAACATAAGCAAGAGAAATTCATATTTATGTATATCTAAAGACATGTACAAGAATATTTATAGCACCATTCTTCAGAATAGTCCCAAACTAGAAACAATCCAACTGTCCATCAAATATACTAAACAAATAGAACTTTGTGGTACAGTCATATGATACAGCACTACACAATGAAAAAAACTACCCACCACTGAATTGTAATATCATGGATAAATGTTGAGTAAAGAAACCAAACATATTCCTTTTCAATAAAATACTAAACAGGCAGACCTATTCTTTGATATGAGAGGAGGAAAAGGGCAGGGGTAGTGATGGGGGCACAAAAGGGATGGGCTTTCAGGAATCTGATACTTCTCTTTACTTGGGTGGTGGTCAGTCACATGGGTGTGTTCACTTTGTGACACTGTATATCCTATGATTTGTGTACTTCTTTTGAACCTATATTTTACTTCAATTAAATATTTATTTAAAATATTCAACTCTCTCTCCGTATTCTCCCACTCTACCACCTCTTGAGCATTTACCAATTTGAGAGTGACTTATACAAGTACCTATCATCCTCCACCAGAACTATTCCTGATTTAACTTTGAATTAACTGTAGCATCTAGTCTATTCCCTTAGACAACAGGGCACTCAGCACATCAATGAAGTTGAAATCACCCAGATATTTCTGTATTTCAGAAAGCCTGGGACACAGGGTACCAAGAGGACATACGAGGGGTGTGCAATATGGGTGAGTCCAATCTCAAACTGCTTAGAAAAAGGAAATGTACCATCTCATTCTCTGACAATGACACTCTCTAGAAGAGTCAATTTCTTCTCAACCATTTATCACTGTCGTTCACTCATTCTACGGTTCAAGTGCTGCGTATCTTTCAGACCGTCGGTGTTTGCATCCCTCTGTGTGCCTAAATCTACTTCTATCATATACACAATAACATGCCTGTGTATAGTTCCCCCACATCCAAACCTCTCTGATTTAAGGACCCTGTCTCTCCCATACAATATACAACATGATCTTTGTAGCATCTCTGCAGCAAGAACATGAACCAAGAAAATATAATACAATAAAAACTTGTCTATGATAAAGGTTTCCTATTTTTCCCCTAAAAGAATCTATTCCCTTATATAAAGCTAGAATATTGCAATCTTCTCTTTACATACTAGCTGGCAGACCTCTGAAGAAACATTCTTTTCCCTCAAGTATTAAGAAAGCAGAACTCTGGTCTCCCCACCAGAACAAGAATATCAGCACACAGATGCTCATGAGGGCAATGGCAGGCTCAAACAAAGATACAGAAAAAAGTTGTAGACACTTACCTGATGTTTAATAGCATCATACAATAATTGCCTTCCAGAAGGGCTATCAAAATCCCCAACAATCCAAAAAGTTACTGGCCTAATAAAAGAATCATCTGTAGAAAAACAAAACAACATATTAAGTTGGAGAGAAGAAAGCACATTCTGTGTTTCGCTACTGTTATTAAGCCAAATATTTTTGAAAAACATGCAAAAAAAAAAATAAGAAAATGACAAGTTTAATAAAAATACAAAGCAAAAGTAGTGAAACTTCAATACTAGAATGAAAGCAGGGTAGCCATCCATATGGCTTAATTATACACTAGGAGCATGCACTTATTAATTCTATTATAGTTTGGGCATCTGTTAGCATATAAAATGAAAAAGAGCCTTTGAACATATGGGTAACATTATAGTCTTTAATCATTAATTTGTAACTTTTTGAAATCTAATTCTTTGCAAACATTTATACAAAATTTATCTGTATGGATAAATTATCTACTGTTACCCACAGGTTCCAGAAACATCCCAATAAAGGATCAGTAAATTCTGAATTATAACAGTGATTGAAATAAGATAATTGAGAAAAAGAACAGAACATTCTGAAGTTTAAAGTTACCATAGATTTCCTTGGAGGACATTCCTGGAGAAAGGTAAAGGAAAAGAGTAGAAGAAAAGAAAATATCATTTCTAAAATAATTGCCTACTATCAGTCAAATTTTAAATAATTCCTAATATGATCTATGCTTCTTTCTGCTTCTTAGCCCCTTTACAGTTTAGTAATTTCTTTGAGGAATCAAATGGAGCAACTGCCTTTACTTACATATACCTAGGAAACCAGAAATTCTCTCTGGGATATTATAGTGGTATGAAAATAGCTACCTTAACTGACAGTAAGTGCTCTAAAAGGATAATAAGTGTGACCAGAGGAGAAAAGCATCTGTCTGCCATTAAAAGGATATCAATTTCACACAACATTAGTCTAAATAAGTCTACATAAAAATCAGTTTTAAAACTTACGTATTTCTAGAACCAAGTTTATCTTTTAAAAAATTAATGCAATGTTGTCATTGAAGAGGCAAATCAAATCAATTTTCAATCTATTAACTCATTTTTACATCATAAATGTTCTCCCATTTTGAACAATGAAAAATTTTCCCTTTTGACTTTAATATCTAAAATAAAAATTTATAAAGATAACATTTAATTTTCAAAAATGTATAAAGAATTTTAAACAGGTATTTTCTATGCTCAAATCATTATAAGAAATAATTAATAAAATAAATTATGAAGTCCCTCTCTCAACAGACACTAACGAATGAATTTTTTGCAAATACTAAAAAAAAACGTTGAATCCAAGACAAGCCTAGAATGTATTACCTTTCTTTGTCAGATAGTTCATACTATTGGCTATAGCAGCAGTCTTGCCTTGGGAATCCAAGGCAGTAAATCTAGCATAATCATCCACAAAAAAGTTATCTGAAAAAAAAAAATTGTAGTTTTATAATTAATATGCCTAAAATCAATCTAATGTTAACATTCAACTGATGATGTGATATGACCATAATACAAGTTTTATAAAAATGCATGAATGAAATATCAATATATTTCATGTTTACTGAATAATTTTACAACCCCAATGACCCCTACCCCATTAATCACATTTTAAGACACAGTTAAAAAATGTACATTATAACTCATAAAACCCTCATAAATGTATGTATCACTTTAATAGTTTAAATGTGTCCTACTCCCACTTCTATCACTTTACAACTAGAGAATGATCTCTTAAAGAAATCCCCTTGACTTCATCTCTCCCTTCCATTGTCCAGATGTCCATAGGTAGGTAGGCAGATATGAGCAGGAGGGAGAGGGACAATGAAGGGTTAACGAGGCCCTGAGACCAGCTCAGCAGAAGAAAACATACAACCAGGGATCTGGCAGGCTTGTAAAGCCTCTCTGTGTCCCCCACGGTCAGAGGCTAGACGGGCAGGCAAAAAGAGCCTAGTAATGCCTGGCGCCTTCCTCATCCCCTCACCCCACCTCCCACACCAATGCTTACCCTAGTCAGTTAACTGCAAATGACCTTATATAACTTTACTCCAGGAAAGCTCAACTGGTATGGGCAAAATGAGTTAAATGGGCAAAATTCCCACAGTGTTAGGTGTATGACTTCCCATGGATGGACACACACTGCGCAGGCCCTAGCTCGGAGTGGGAGGGCCCACTGGAGGAGCAGAAAATTCCACCTTTTGAGGTAAGAGGGACAGAAGGAGAACAATGAAACTCTATGGCCTATATAACACCCAACCGTCAACTTCTTGGGGCCCTCAATCCTCTATTGAGGTACCCGCTTGGACTTTCTTCTGAATGTACTTTACTCTATTTTACTGAAAAAAAATCACTTCTGTTTGCTATTTTTCATCAGCTCAGTCCACCTTTTCTTAGCATCAGAATTCTATGTAAATCTTCTGTGGAGGATCCAAGAACCGAACTCCTGACTCCCACAACACAGATATCTGATTGCCAGTAACACATCCACCACAGTAAGCTCTTACCTTATTTGGGTGTGGAAAGGCATAAATGGAAGAAAAAATATAAGAAAACTCTCATTTTAATTTTTTTATATGTCACAAAATAATATATTTTTAGTCCGAACAGAAACACAAGGTCATTTTCAGATATATATCTTCTCTGATTAGTGCCCACAGGCAATGCTCTTATTAATCATTTCCCTCTCAAATCACTCTTCTTAAATTCCAGTTTCATCAAGTCATTCCTTTGCTCTAAACCACCCAGTCTTTCTTCTTATACTACAAAATGGTCTCCAGCCTGGTATCATAAACATTCTATCTCCAGCAATCTCCCTAATCTTATGCATTATTATGTCCCAACATAAATGTCATTCTTCTCTCACTGTCCTCCAGGCACAGCTTGCTTGTCTACCCTCCATCTATTTGTCTGTCTGCCCATTTTCCAACCTACTCTTTCATTCAACAAAGTACACTGAGGGACTACTATTCCTTCAGTCAATATTCTAATAAAGAAAAGTAATGGTGAATAAGAGAGACATGGCCCACGACATCATGTGGAGGATGGGAAAAGACTTTATTTTCGCGTTCTTTAAAAAGGTCCCAGGACAGCAAAGACTAAGAGCAGCATAAGTGACGGAGCCAGGACCACTGGGTCAGGATGATGCCAGCTGTTCCTTCACTGATAGTTCTAAAATGCTCACCCAACAGATTGCAACTTTACTACCACTGTGGACTAGCACCAGTTCACAAATGATTACTACAGTACTTAGTGGAGAAAGATATCTAAAAACACAGAACTATTTTTGTGCTCCTTATTCATGATAACTATTTACATATTTAACTATTTACAGTTTAATTTAAAATTATGGAAACTAAAAAGCTTATGCACGGCAAAAGAAACCATCAACAAAGCAAAGAGGCAACCAACTGAATGAGAGAAGATATTTGCAAACAATGCCTCCAAAGGGTCTAATCCAAATATACAAAGAACTCATACAACTAAACAATTTAAAAAAATAAACAATCCAATTAAAAAATGGGCAGAGGACCTGAACAGACACTTCTCCCGAAGAGACATACGCATGAACAACAGGCATATGTAAAGATGCTCAACTTCACTAGCCATTAGGGAAACGCAAATCAAAACCACAATGAGGTCCCACCTCATACCTGTTAGAACAAGACAAGTAATAACAAGTGTTGGAGACGTGGGGAAAAATAAACTCCCATGCATTGTTGGTGGGAATATAAATTGGTACAGCCACTATGGAAAACAGTATGGAGGTTCCTCAAAAAACTAAGAATAGAGAGACAGGAAAAAATGGCGTAGAAGATAGTTTGTTCATCCCTCTTGCGACCACATCAAAGTTGTGACAGAAACACGGAGCAAACAGCAAGGAAAGTCACCTGGTATCTAGATGAGCAGAAGCATTACAACCTGCAATGGTAGAAGGCTGCCCAGTCCTGAGCGGCTCAGTGGGACAGAGGCTGTGGCAGTGGCAGCAGCAGATACTTCTTAAAGGGGCCGTGTCTCCAAGCGGACTTCCACGGTAACAGACTTGCTAGCTCTGAGCACCAGCACTGTGTCAGCTGTGCAGGGGGTACCAGGGACTTACAGGGAGACACTGAGTTGTAGGACTGAGGGCTGGAGGTGAGGCTCTCTACCAGGCAGAAATGATAGTGGTATCCACTGTTCCTCTTTCGAGCCTTACCTGCTCCCAGGGCACAGGACTCAGCACCACCATAGCGGAGACCACATCAAATTGAATAACAGAGGTTGCTCTACCCAGAGTTTCCCTGAAACTCTACCTCCCCCAACTTGCGGCCCCACACAAGCCACATCCAGGTGTGTCCTCGAAGTATCCAGGGCTCCTTGCTGAGTTAGCGCCAAGACTCACAATGGTGGCAGCTGGCCTTGGTTTCTGGCGTGGTTTCTTGAGGAAACTATAAGCACAGCATCTGTGGCTTGCTTGCTGAATCTTACCAGGTGGCCCTGGAGAGGCACAGGCTGGGGCTAAACTTGGCCTGCAGATGAACCCTTCTCAGGACGGTGCCACTGGACATCTACTACACAAAGCCATGCTAATAAGACCAATAGACTTAGGAACTTTGCTTAGTTTATAGAAACAGACACAGAAAGGCAGTCAAAATGGGAAGACAAAGAAGCAGAAACCATATGAGAGAACAGAACAGAGATCCAGGAATAATGGAGTCAAGCAATCTAACAGATGCAGAGTTCAAAATAGTGGTTATAAAGATGCTCAATGAACTTAGGGGAACTGTAGATGAACTCAGTGAGAACTTTAACAAAGAGATGAAAAACATAAAAATGGAAATGGAAACTATAAAAGGGAACCAGTTGGAAATAAAGAACACATTATTTGAGATAGAGAGTATATTAAAGGGAATCAACAGCATAGATGATGAAGAGAATCAAACCACTAATATAAAGGACAGGGAAGCCAAGGACACTCAATCAGAATGGCAAGAAAAAAAGAAGCCGAGACTACAATAATAATTTAAGGAGCCTATGGGACACAATTAAAGGTGAAAATACCATGTCATAGGGGTACCAGAAAGAAAACAAGAAGTTGAAGAGCTATTTGAAGAAATAATGATGGACAACTTCCCTCACCTGGTAAAGGAAATAGACATAAAACCCCAGGAAGCTCAAAGAATCCCAAACAAGATGAACCCAGAGAGGCTCACACAAAGACACATCATAATTAAAATGCCAAAAGTTAATAAATACAAAGAGAGAATCTTAAAAGCAGCAAGAGAAAAGCAGTTAGTTACCTATAAGGGAGCTCCCACAAGACCGGCAGCTGATTTCTCAAAAGAAACTATGCAGGACAGAAGGGCTTAGCACTAAATATTCAACATGATGAAAATCAAGGATCTACAACCAAGAATACTTTAACCAGCAAAGCTATCATTTAGAGTCAAAGGACAGATAAAGCACTTCCCAGACAAAAATAATCAAAAGGACTTTATCATCGCCAAGCCAGTGTTATAGAAAATGTTGGAGGGACTTCTTTAAGAAAAAAAAACATGTATCAAAAACAGGAATAAAGAATGGTAATAACTACATTCCTATCAATGAGTACCTCAAATGGAAAAGAATTAAGTGCTCTGACCAAAAGATAGAGTGGCTGAATGGATAAGAAAACAAGACCCCTGCATATGCTGCCTACAAGAGACTCACTTCAGATTAAAAGACACACACAGACTAAAGGGAAGGGGATGGAAAAAGATATTGCCTTGATGGACCTAGAGAGTATTGTGCTAAATAAAATGAGTCAGATAGAGAAAGGTGAATATTGCATGCTTTCATGTACATGTGGAATCTGAAGAACAAAATAAATAATAACAACAAAAACAGAAATAAACTCATAGATACAGAGAATATTTTGAGGGCTACCAGATGGGAGGGGGTTAAGGGCAATGGTAAAGGGCAAACAGATTAAGAAGTACAAATGGATAGTTACAAAATAGACATGGAGATATAAAGTGTAGTTAATAATGTTGTAATAAATATGTAAGGGGAAGAAGGGTACTAGATTTAGTGGGATGATCACTTTGTGAGATATATAGATCTCTAATCACTATGCTATACAGGTGAAACTAATATATATTGTATGCCAACTATAACTGAAAAAAACTCATTTAATTGTACAATGTAAACTAATTATCTATTATATTTCTATAAAGCTGGGAAAAAACTTAGAGCTTCCATATAACCCAGCAATCCCTTTCCTGGCTATCTACCCAAAAAATTTGAAAGCATTTATCCACAAAGATATATGCACCTTGACATTCATAGCAGTATTATTCATGGTGGCCAAGACATGGAAACAACCAAAGTGTCCTTCAAGAGATGATTGGATAAATAAATGTGGTACATATATACAATGGAATATTACTTGGCTATAAGAAAAGATGAAATACTGCCATTTGGGATAGATGGATGGATCTTGAGATTACCATGCTAAACGAAATGTCAGACAGAAAAAGTTGAGAACCATATAATTTCACTCATATGTGGAATATAAAACTGAAAGCAGCAAACGAATAAGACAAGCAAACAGAGACTCATGGACAAAGACAACAGTTTAGTGGCTACCAGAGGGAAAGGAGGGTGGGAGAAGGTAGATAAGGGTAAAGGGGTCAAATATATTGTGACAGAAGGAAATTTAACTCTGGGTACTGAACACACAATGCAATATACATATGATATGTTGCTGAATTGTAACTCGAAACCTATATAATTTTACTAACCAAAAGCAACCAAGTAAATTTAATTTAAAAAAATAAATAAACAAATCCTAAAATCAAAAGAATAAAAACAACAAAAACTCAAGACAAAGACTCATAATACTGTTTGCCTTGCTCTATTAAAACTTCAGGTGAAAAGTTAAAACCTAGCTGTGAAGAAACAATGTAGCTCACATTCTGACTGCTTTCTTTTTCAAATAAAAGCATATCTGTGCATTTTCCTCTGCCTAAAAGAAAAAGAATTCAGTTTCCAGTTAAGATTAGAGGTAGGTGTCATAAAGTAACAACCATAAATAGATCTATATATCCATTATTCATAACTACAACAACAAATACACCTGGTTTTGACTTCACCAGTACACATTATCTTTTCTCCCCCATGAGATTTTCCTGGGCAAGTGATAATAGCTCTACTTTATTTCCAGCTGTTTCCTAAAATGGCCTGCAGAATCATACTGGAAGGCAAAAGGAACAAATTGTACCTGGATCTAACATATCTACCTCTTAAAAGGTATTCTTGGGGAAACTACCCGAACATCCATCAACTGAGAAATAGATAAGCAAAGTGTAGAATATCTATGCAATGTATTAATAAGCCAGCCATAAAAAGGATTGAAGTACTGAAACAGGCTACAACATGGATAAACCTGAAAAACATTATGCTAAGTGAAAGAAGCCAGACACAAAAACTTTCCATTACATGAAATATCCAGAATAGAAAAATCCATAGAAACAGAAACTAGGTTAGTGGTTCCTGGAGAATGGAAGGGGGAAATGGAAAATGACTACTAATGGGTACACATTTCTTTTTGGGGTGATGATGTTCTAAATTAGATAGTGGTAGTGATCATACAACTTTGAAAATACGTAAAAATATCATACACTTTTAAAACTGTACACTTTAAAAGATTTAGTTTTATGGCATGACATTATTCCTCAATGAAGCTTTATTTTTTAGAAAGGCATTCTCATGCTCTCAGAATAAAACTAAGATATTTGTTGACATTGCTGACTGATTCCAGAATGAGGATGAAGAAAAGACAGATGCTTAAAGAGTTTTATAACTAAGAAAGTCAACAATACAGGTCCTTTTTATCATCTAATGCCTATTTTTTTATTTAAAAGTCACTGAATATTTTTTAAAGTTCACAAGTGTTTATCCAGGAAGAATTTCTCTTCTTTTGGAGGAAACTCCTATGAATTTAGAAGCTTGTATTATGAATTCAAGGTGCAATGAGTTCAAATATAAAATCGGGTCAAAATCTTGGGTTATCTTCTGAACATTACAATCTACTAAATGCAAAGATTCTGAAAGACAAATCAAAAACAGCCCACAGCTGCTCCTGAAATGCTCCTTACTGGTTGCTGTTAAATCCAGGTATTCTCGCTCAGCTGTTAAAATCCTAGAATTGATTCGTGGAACAACATTTGGCTGATTCATGATATACTCTACCACATCTTGATCATGGGACAGTTCGCCCTACAGAAAAAAAAGGTGGGGACAGGATGAGTGTTAAACAAATCCGACTGATAATTAGAAACTAAAAAATTATTAACTTTATAATACCTTTTTTTTATATATATAATACCTTTTTATGTATAGGTAACAGCTAAAAACACGTTACCATGATTTATGTCCTTGTCATTGCCAAGCATAGCTTGGCACATCATGCACAGTATCACTAACTTTCAACAATGTGAAGCACATGTTATTGCCATCCAGTTTAAAGATGAGGAATCTGTGGCACAGAAAAGTTAAATAACTAACTGAAAATCACAGAGTTAATGAGAAGTGAATTTGAAATGCAAATCCAACTTTATTTGATCTCTCCACATACCTCTGTGCTTCCCCAAAAATAAGTAAGCTCTACATATTGTAGTTAACAAAAACAGAAATCCATTCTGAGATGTGCTTATTGTTGGTTTCTCTCTAAAGAAGAAAGGCAAATGCATTCTCTCCAGCAATTAATATACTTTGTAATAAAAATCACCCCAAGCTTTTTTCAATCTCAGGTATCCAAGTAACCCTACATTTCCAGAGTCACAATTATGCTGGTGAAAGGAGAAACAATTCATCATTTATTCTTCCCTTTTGTACCTCTCATATTACAGAAATATATGTACAATTGACCCTTGAACAACATGGGTTTGAACTATACAGGTCCACTTATATGTGAATTTTTTTTCAATAAATATATTCTCTCTTCCTTATGATTTTCTTTCCTTTTTTTTTTTTTTTTAACACCTACACCACCTGGTCTTCCTAGGTGGTTTCCCATCCAAGTACTAACCAGGCCCGACCCTGCTTAGCTTCCGAGATCAGACGGGATCAGGCTTGTTCAGGGTGGCATGGTTGTAGACTCCTTATGATTTTCTTAACATTTTTTTCTCTAGCTTTATTATAAGAGTATATAATATATACAACATACAAAATATATGTTAACCAACTCTTTATGTTCTCGGTAAGGCTTCTAGTCAAAAATAGGCTATCAGTAGGTAAATTTTGGGGAGTCAAAAGTTATATGCAGGTTATTGACCACTAAGGGAGCGGGGTTAGCACCCTTAACCCCTGCGCTGCTCAAACGTCCACTACAGTTTTTTGTAAAATAAAAAAATAATAAATAATAAATGTAATGTACTCCAAGTAGGAAAAACCCATAGAGTTCCACACGTAGACATAATTATGAAGTGTCAAAAGTACCGATCCTCAATCAGATTAACAGCTGATTTCTCAAAAGAAATCATAGAGATGAAAAGGCAATAGAATTACATATACAAAGTGCTGAAAGAAAATAACTGTCAACGAAGATATTCCATATGCAGACAAATTTTCATTAAAAAATAAAGGGTAAATGAACACATTCCCAGATAAACAAAAACAGAGAATTTTTCCCTGCCAGGCCTAACCTATAACAAATACTAAGGGGTATCAATCAGGCTAAAATGAAAAGACACAAGACAATAACTCAAATCCACACAAAAAATTAAGAGCACAAGTAAAGGTACCACATAGGTAAATATAGAAAGTATAAATATATATTTTTGTTTGTAACTCTTATTTTTCTCACTTAAAAGGTACCTATAAAGGCCATAATTATAAATTGATGCAGATAGGCATATAATGTGGAAAGATATAATTTGTATGACAATAACAACATAAAGGAGGAGCTAAACAGAGCTACTGAAGAGCGAAATTTTTCTATATTATTGAAATTAAGTCGATATAAAAAATTTAACTACATAAATGTTATATAAAAAGGATTATACACCATAACAAAGTGGGGTTTAGCCCAGGAATCCAACATATAAAACCAAACAACATAATATACCATATTAATAGGTAAAGAAGAAAAACCATACGATCATCTCAATAAACACTAAAAAGGTATTTGACAAAATCCAACACACACTGATGATAAAAAACATTCAACAAACTAAGAATAGAAGGAAACTTTCATAAACTGATAAAAGGAATCTGCAAAAAACCAACAGCTGATACATACTTACTGGTGAAAGATTGAAAGCTTTCCTCCCTAAGATCAGGAACAAAACAAGAATGTTCACTCAACATTACTTCTATTCAGCATTGTATTAGAAGGTAAGCAATAAGCAAGAAAAGAAATAAAAAGACGTAAAAAGCATCAGATTAAAAAGGAAGAATCAAAACTCTCTCTTCGAAGATGACGTAGTCGCAAGTTGACATTTTCTATATATAAAGCATTTAAAGAATCCACAAAATACTATTAGAGCTAATAAGTTACAACATGTAAGATCAATATACAAAATCAATTGTATTTCTATTCATTACCAATAAACTATCCAAAAATTAAATTTAAAAAATATTTCATTTACAATAGCATAAAAAAGAATATAATACTAAAGAATAAATTTCAGGAAAAAAGTATAAGACTCTGCCATTGAAAATAACAAAACATAGTTGAAAGAAAGTAACAAGACCAAAATAAATGGAAACATCCTGTGTTCATGGGTTGGAAGATTCAACATTTTTAAAAGGTATCAAAGATATATCAATACAGCCCAAATTGATCTACAGATTGTATGTAATTCCTATCAAAATCCCAACGACGGTTTTTCGAAGGAAGGAAGGCAGGCAGGCAGGCAGGCCAGCCCAAAGTTGGAAAATTCACATTTGATTACGACACTAATTAAGACTATGAGGTATTTACATAAGAAAAGATATATTGGTCAATGGAAAACAAGACAATCCAAAAATAAATCTATATGTTAAAAGGCAATTTTTTTTTTTTTTTTATAAAAGTGCCATAACATTTTAATGGGGAAAGACTATTCTTTTCAATAAATGGTACTGGGACAACTAATCATCCCAAAAGATACCTGGTTTCATGTCAAATTGGATTTGGAAAAAAAGGTGAACTCCTACTTCACACCATATATAAAAGTTAACTGAAAATGGATCAAAGAACTAAATGCTAAGAGAAAAAACTATAAAATGCCTGGAAGAAAACACAGGTATAAATCTTTGTGACGTAGGATTAAGCAATCGTTTCTTACATATGATACAAATAGCACAAGCAACAAAAGAAAAAAAAAAAGTAAATTAGATTTAATCAAAATTAAAAACATTTGAGCTTTAAAGGATACCACCAAATAGTGAGAAGACAAATTATAAAGTGAGAGAAAATATTTGAAAATATATAATAAGTGATTAGTATCCAAAACAAATAAACAACTCTTACAGCTCAAAAATAACAAATACACAATTAAACATGGGCAAATAATTTAAATAGACATTTTTCCAAAGAAGATATAAATGGTGAATAAATTCAATATCATTCAGGTTTGAGTAAAGCAAATCGAAACCACAGTTAACACTCACACCAGCCAGGCTATACTTAAAGAGACAGACAATACCAAGTGTTGGCTAGAATGTGGAGAAAGTAGAACCCGGATACACCACTGGTAGGAATGTTTAATGGTGCAGCTGCTTTGGAAAATAGTCTGATAGTCTATGGCCATGCTACCCTGAATAAACCTGATCCTGTCTGATCTCAGAAGCTAAGCAGGGTCGGGCCTGGTTAGTACTTGGATGGGAGAACACCTAGGAAGACCAGGTACTGTACGTGTAAAAAAATAAAAAAATAAGGGATTGTAAGCTGACAAGGTCCTTGCAATCTGTGAGGTCAACCAAGGGTTGCCTCGCCTAAAAAAAAAAAAGAAAATAGTCTGATAGGTCCTCGAATTGTTAAAATAAGCATGCAATTCCACTACTAGATATATACCTAAGACAACCCATACACAATTATTCATAGTAGCCAAAAAGTGGAAACAACCCAAATATGCATCAACTGATGAATGGATAAACAAAATATGTTATATCCATTTAAGGGACTATTATTTGGACATAAAAAGGAGTGTGTACTTACATGCACTCCAGCAAGGATAAAAACCTTGAATACATTACACTAAATGAAAGAAATCAGTCACAAAAGACCACATATTGTATGAATCTATTTACATAAAATGTCCAAAACGAGCAAACACATAGAGAGAGAAACAGATTGGTGGTTGCCATAGGGCAGAGTAGGGGAAAATGGAGAGTGACCACCACTGGGTTTTGAGTTTATTTAGAGGGTAATGAAAATGTTCTTATTGCCTACTACAGAGAATACAAAAATGTAAGCAAATCATTCTCTTTCAAAATCAACCTTCAAATACCACTCACCAAGTATACCGCTCTTTGGAAGAAGGTTGTGGTCTCCAGAATTTTGTGCATTGTGATGGTTTCCAACTCATCAGGATCCAGCTGCTCCTTTTCCAAGGGCATTCCATTGAACAGAACAACAGGCAGAAGACCAACTCCAGTCTGCTCATAGTAGGCTCTTGCTTCCTAAAATCACAAGGGACCACAAAATGACACATTTTTGTCCTTCATGAGACAAATGGAACAAAGTATATTTTTCATAATACATGTCCTAGTAAGAAAAAATCAACAGAAATATGGTCACCAATATAACTAAAGAAATTTCTTTTAAAAAATATCAAAGGTGAAATCATAGTTAATATCTAAGTAAATTTCAGATTAAGTTACTGAGTTTTTATAAAAACACAAAACTTTGCAAATTAGGAAGTGATTTGAGGGTAGGGGTTGGGGTAATTTTCAGCAGCCCAAGTTACCAATCCTGAATTATACAAGCTAAAGCCAAAACTATACAACAGACCTTTCTGCAATGATGGAGATATTCTACTTTCACTGCCCAATGCAGTAGCCACTAACCACACATGGCTATTAAGCACTTAAAATTAATTAATTTTCATTTTAAAGTCACATGTGGCAAGAGGCTCCCATAATGAGCAGCACAACAACAGACTGACATAAATTATTAGTGATCCTGTGCAGAAAGCCTGAGAAGAAATATTTACATCCAATCCTAAATTAAAAGATCCATATCACTAAAAAGAAATTACATCTACAGAAAACAAAACAAGACTGGTGAGAAAACAGTGCATAAAAACTGCTCTACAATATACTGAGTTCAATCTTTTTCCTTCCCCAAGAAAAAAAGAGGTTCCCTGGCAGGAAAATGCCAGGCCAACAAAATGGCAAATGTATCTAAGATGGATATATTTTTTTCCTGGCACTTTCCTCTGACTGTCAACATAGGTACATTCTCCATATATCAACCACCAACCCAAGACTAAGTTTTCAGACAAAAAACTATATCGTATGCAAGATATTAAAAATAATTCTTCAAAACTTTCTTGTTAAACATCTTGTAACTGATATATTCTGAAAAATACCAGAAGTTTCTTACATGTAACCTTTTTAAATACCACAAATAGAGAAGTACTTCAATTGTGTCACTAATACCAGGCATCAGCCATATATTGCTTAGTTTCTAATCGGATCTAGCCACAACAGTAACTGATGGTACAGACCTATATGAGGGACTATATATGGCATAGACAAAAAGACATTCTAGATTGATTTCTGCTGTTTCTCTATATCACTGTTTAAATTTTTAAAATTTATACTCCCAAAATTGTAACATGTTAATTATGTTCTTTAACCTCAACTGTTTTCAAACAAGTGTGTAAAAACTCAATTTTAATATACTTTGCACTTTGAAAATCATTCCTCAATAAAACAAAGTCCAAATTCTAACTCTAAGTGACAATAATAAGTAAGTAACATTAGTTGTCTCTGGAAACGGCAACTGAATAAAAGTTAGGAGTGGGAGGGATATGTTTTGACTATATAGCTTCCATTTTTACAACCTGTAAACAGTTTACCAGATCCAATAACAGAATGCAGCTCAATTATCAAAGAGCCAAGTTTAAAAGTTATATGTGAGACTATCAACGAGAGAAAGAGGCACCCATCTGAAAGGGCCTATAAGGGCCTAATACAACATATACAAAGAACTCATACAACTCGACAATAAAAAAACAAACAATCCAATTAAAAAATGGGCAGAGGACCTGAACAGACACTTCTCCTGAGGAGACATACAAATGATCAAAAGACATATAGAAAGATGCTCAATTTCACTAGCCATTAGGGAAATGCAAATCAAAACCACAATGAGGTACTACCTCATACCTGTCAGAATGGCTATCATCAACAGGACAAGTAATAACAAGTGTTGGAGAGGCTGTGGGGAAAAAGAAACCCTCATGCACTGCTGGTGGGACTGCAAATTGGTACAGCCACTATGGAAAACAGTGTGGAGTTTCCTCAAAAATACTAAGAATAGAGCTTCCATATGACCCAGCAATCTCTCTACTGGGTATCTACCCCCAAAATTTGAAAGCATTCACCCACAAAGATATATGCACCCCGATATTCATAGCAGCATTATTCACTGTGGCCAAAACATGGAAACAGCTGAAGTGTCCTTCAATAGATGACTGGATAAAGAAGCTGTGGTACATATATACAATGGAATATTACTCAGCCATCAGAAAAGATGAAATATTGCTATGTGTGACAACATGGATGGATCTTGAGATTATCATGCTCAGTGAAATATGTCAGACAGAAAAAGTTGAGAACCATACGATTTTGCTCATATGTGGGATACGAAACTGAAAGCAACAAACAAACATAACAAACAAACAGAGACTCATGAACAAGGACAGCGTGGATTGGTGGTTACCAAAGGGAAGGGACAGCGGGGAGGTAAATGGGGGTAAAGGGCGTCAAATATTTGGTGAGAGAAGGAAATTTAACTTTGGGTAGTGAACATACAATGCAATATATATGAAGTATTATTGAACTATACACTTGAAATCTATCTGATTTTATTAACCAATGTTACCCCAATAATTTTAATAAAAAAATTACATGTGAGAACTTCTATCAACTAATCACTAAAAAATGTTAAAATTATTTTAAAACGTTAATTACAGGCAAAGTCTTATGAATGAGCCACTCACAAATTATACCTAAGATTAATAAAGACTCAGAGTTAACAGCCAAAAGCAAAATGTTTCAATTTAAGTGAGAACTCTTCTTACCTACCATTATCTTACTGGCTTCAAAAGAGAGACACCTATCTGACTAAACCGTCTTCAGTTTTAAAATTCTACTTTAATTGTACTGCCTAGTTATAGAAATGATTACTTCTTTCAAATATTAAAAACAGAAGATATCATAGCTTCAGAATTATAACAAAAGGTACAGATATTTATAACAACATTAGCTAAATGCACTCATTCCTCCTTTTCAAAAGAATCTGTTTTCTTGAGCTTTTTTGTGTGCGAGTATTGCTCCTGCAATTTAAAAATTCTTACTAATCACTAGATTCTTGGGACTTCTAGAAATCTAACATCCTTCTCTTCAGAGTATATATCTACTCAAATAGTAAATTACGTGGCATATATAAATAATATGATCTTTTTATATGGGAAGGGCCACTAATCAGTACAGATGAGGAAAATGGCCACATCTAGGAAACTACTGAGGAACTAGGTCTGTGTAGGTCTGTGTTACTCCTATTTGATTCTTCAGTAAATAAGAATTTCAACACATAAAAGACAACAAGTAAAAATACCCTTTTTCTCAATTTGTCCACTGTATTCAATACTTGTCAAGCAAATACTTTTGATATAGCAATCATCCACAATAAAAAGGCAACATGAACTTTTTCTTCAACAGGATAGAAAAAATTAGAATTAAACCTTTTTCCAAATGTGAAATATGAGAAAATCCCATTAATTCTCCTGAACCTTTAGTATTTCCATAGCAGCCTTTCTTTTCTTTTATTTCACCTGTTCTTTTTTTACAGAGTGCTATTCTTGCTGTTTGTGAAAATGTCCACATCAATATTATTTTAGTCAAAAAATCATAAAAGGTAAGTGACTGAACAGAAGGCTGCAATAAAATAATGGAACCATTTTCAGTCAAAACTGAATAGATCTCATGATCAGCTTTAGTTCCAAACCTGACTTGACACAAGGAGGTGTAACAATAAAGTACGAGTGACGTCAACATCATGGCTGAATAAGATGCCCCTCATTGGTGTCCCTCCCACAACAACGATTTGGCATCCATCCATGAACAAAAGTGCCTTTGTGAGAGCTTTTCTATCCAGCACCAACCACCAAATGACCCAGGATAAGTCTCGCCCACACATGCATCAGGTGATAGGCATATAGACTTTGACCCTGGCTTGGTCCAAGGACTGGGCCCTCTTGGCCACAGCCTGGGAACCACTGGGAAAAAAATGTCTAAGCAATCACTCATGGACAGAAAAGTTCCAGGAGAGAAGTTCCAGAACATCAAGGGAGCAAAAAACTACAAGTTTGGACACACCAAAGAGAGTAAGAGGAACAGGCTGACTTTACACACATCACCCCTCCCCCAAGGCAGTGCAGCTTAAGGCCAAGAGAAAGATCTTCTAGACTCATGATTTCTCCTGCGAAGGAATGTGCAGGCAAGTGAGTATGTACCCAGCTTCCCCAGCTATCTAGGATGCTACCAAAAAGGCTAATTTCTCTCTCACCCCATCCAGAGTACTGAAGTGTGAACTCATGACTGGGGGAGGGTAGAGGCTGGAACAGCAGCAACAATGCTCTCAGAGGGCAGTTAAGGGACACAGTTTGTACTTACTGCAACAAGAAGTATACCCATGAGCCACCCAGAACACCTCATCCACAGATCTCCCCAAATGGCTTAAGGGCACCCCCAGTGCTCTGTGTACCTCACCCACACACATAACTCCTCCCCGTGGCCAGCTCCCAGGGTACATTCCTGACAGTAGCAGCAAGAGCAAGTTTTGCTCAATGGCTCGTAAGAACCCACAGAAAGCTAGCCCAAATCTTGAGCTAGAAAGACAACAAAACTTGAGCTTTAGTGCCACCTTGGGGAAAACATGAGGGGGTCTGGTTAGCACCTAACTTGGGGCTAGAGAATCAAGAGAATTTATACAAATTTCTGAAGTCTGTATAAAAGAGAACAGCAAGCATGAAGCAGATATATCCACAGACAGCCTGAGAATGCCTCAGAATTCCTAACAGGCCTGATGGAAGGTATTTCTCTCCCAAAGGCAGTTAATAAAGACTGGAGGAAGTGACTGCAACTCCAAATGCAAAGAAAGCAATGCAAAAGTGCAAGGAACATGAAAAATCAAGCATAACATCACCAAAGTATCACAATAATCTTACGGTAACTCATCCCAAAGATGTGGAGAACTGTGATTTACTCAAAGAATTCAAAATAGCTGTTTTTGGGAAATTCAATAAGCTACAAAAAAACCCAGAGAAAAAAAATCAACAAAATTAGAAAAAGCAATACAATAACAAAATTAGAAATTTAACAAAACAAGAAAAATCATAAAAAAGAACCAAACGGAAATTCTGGAGCTGAAAAAATACAATGAGTGAAAT